TCCCTGTTGGTGCATGTTTCCTGTCTTACTTCTATCCTCCCTAGCACCAACAATGGAGCTCCCACCATTTGTTTTTGGTAATATATCCTCACTATTGCTAGTGGAGTCCTCTTGTTTGCTATTTCCTGCGGTATTTCTAGTTTGCAATATTGGTTTTATCTTATCTTTGACTACACTTGTTTCCCTACTATGGCTCCTGTCCCCTATGCGGTCATTTCCATATGTATTCCTTCCTGCATATGTTCCCGACTACCTGGACAAAATCTCCAGCTTTCACCATTACTGTCTCCCAGGACAGCATCTCCAGCTTCCCCTTTACTGTCTCCCAGGACAGCATCCCCAGCTTCACCATTACTGTCTCCCAGGACAGCACTCCAGCTTCACCATTACTGTCCCCCAGGACAGCACCTCCAGCTTCCCCATTACTGTCTCCCAGGACAGCATATCAGCCCCCCATTTACTGACTACCAGGACATCATCTCCACCTTACAGTTTTTGACTACATGGCCAGTATCAAGGGCAGTACCATCAGCCCGGACTTTTTATGTTCCCATCGTTGTAGAAAGCTTCCAGGTTTTCTATGAAAGCAGCTTTGATGTTGACCTCTTTTAATACCCTTGTGATTTTAGTCCACAGATTTATCTCATTTGGGCATACCCAAAAACATTTCCCTTTTTTAAAATACTGCTTGTAGCTAGTTCTTGGATATCTGCACAAGGGGCGTGACACCAATTTCCACAGAAATGACAATTTATGCATGTGGAAGCCCGTTTGTTTGACTGACCACAGACTACAAAACAGCTTCATAATGATTTGAAATGGTTTATTTACTGCAATTTACTAGCAACCTCTTGAATATTTTATTAATAACCTGCTAGGTGGTGCACAACGAAACCGTTTGAAACCGTCCAGGGTTCGGGGCCAGTCAGGGTTCGGACCAGTCAAGGGTTCGGACCAGTCAAGGGTTCGGACCAGTCTATCTGATCTGATCAGTGGGTCACTTATTTAAACCATACTGGTCGGTGATTTGAGCTAACACATGAAGGGTCTACTGGAAATTATCTACCCGAGTAATATGTGATTGATTGATACAAAAGTATAACTTGCGTGTTGAAGAGCCGGTGACTGCTGGCACTCCTACAATGACGAACGGTCGAGCCTCCACCTTTGTTTATCAATCGCTGTATCTAGCTTCTCTATTTTTTTTTTTCCGTCTCCACCACAATAAATGCTATATTATCACTATAGTTGACTGGTGCAAATTTTGGAGGAAGGGCGCTTTTTCTGTAGTAATAATTGCTTCTCGTTGTGTATATTGCGACCGCTGGTAACTACAGGTTATATGAAATTCACAGTAACGTCTGGTATTTCAAGAAAAAGAAACTAATGAAAGTCACTCCACTTCACTAAGTACCATTATAAATTGTAGTGAAAGCATAGATCGTGTAACTTATAATGAAGGAACACAAGCCATATACATTATTGTGAAGGTAATGCTGACTAGACACCTTGACAGTGAGCAAATTTACTTGTGAGCATGATGATGAGAGCAAATACATGGTAGTTATATTAACGAAAGTAACGTTAGTAAAGGTACCGTGAGTGATGGTTTCTAAGACAAAGAATGATGTTGAAATTGTGCCAGATGCATAAATAATCTCACCATCACTACTATTGATCTGCCTTTGGCATAATTGAATATTAAGGTATAAATGAAAATGCTTGTGTTCCGGAGAGCGAGGCGATCTCTCAGGACGAAAATGACATCAGTGGGGTTAAAGATGTCAAAATACTTATTCGAATATGACAGTAGTCAGGGTGAGTCTGGGGCAGGTGTCACCGGTAGTAATTAAGAACTATAGGAGTGAATTATTATTATTATTATAATCAAGGGGGAAGCGCTAAACCCGGAGGATTATACAGCGCCTGGGGGGGGGGATGTGGAAGGCATTCAGGCTTAATTCGGGGAACTGGAGCACAGATCCAATTCCCTAAATCAAGAGCCCCTCACCAACATCAAGGAACCTTCCTTGAGGGGTATAGGAGTGAAGAGGAGAGAAACACGTGTAGGTGAGAAAAGAAATACACTTAAGGGAACACGAAGATCGGATATTTTTCTCGGAATCCATATCGTAGAGTCCTCCATACATTGGTTTCATTATCTGTCTTTGCCAGTATCTATCCTTTGGCATAACCATCTGGGTATCATGAGGGTTGGGAGATGCCACGCCTGACTCAGCACACTTGACTTAACTGCTTTGCCAGTTCAGGGTATGCATAGCTGCCACCTGTTGTTACTGTTGGTCAAGGTTAGGGCATTGTTCGACACAGGTGTTGCTATTATATTGGGACGGGCACCAAGCTCTCTGGCGAGGTACATCGCAAATTTAACATCTTTCGGGTGCCAAGGAGGCTAAATCAGGAGAGATGCAGAGATACGCCTACGCAGCACACTTCGGAGTCATGGTTCAACCCCCGTGAAAATAAGTCACTGACTTTTTGGGGTTACCCTAGGTAATCTACACATATACTGCTATGTAGTAAGATCACAGTAAACAGTTGATAGCATAATATACAGAACAACCACTGTGAAAAAATAATGAAATTCCAAGCGCTTTCGTGATTTCTCATTATCCTTGATAATGTGAGAAATCACGAAAGCGCTTGGAATTTCACTATTTTTTCACAGTGGTTGTTCTGCATATGCTGTTATGTATGATAATTTATGCAACTGTATTCATGTATTCCTATACCTGAATCAACTTACAGCTAGGTAGGTAAAACCAGGAAGGTACAGACACAGACATAACACCATAATTAACTATTATTATTATTATAATAATCAAAAAGAAGCGCTAAGCCACAAGGGCTATACAGCGCTGCAGGGCAGGAAGGAAGCGAGGGCATCAGGTGGCAAAAGGGAGGTGGATGAGTAATAGGTTACGGATAACAGCGGAGCAGTGGATGGTGAAAGGGTAAAGGGCAGCAAGAGACTGAGCTAGAAAGGGCTGAGGGGGGGTGCGTAAGGTATCATCATCAGAGTTTGTGGAGTAAATCAGTCGTTGTCAAGAACCATAATTAACTGAACTGGTCTTTATTCTGAAGATATTATTATTATTATAATCAAGGGGGAAGCGCTAAACCCAGAGGATTATACAGCGCCTGGGGGGGGGGATGTGGAAGGCATTCAGGCTTAATTCGGGGAACTGGAGCACAAATCCAATTCCCTAAATCAAGAGCTCCTCACCAACATCAAGGAACCTTCCTTGAGGGGATTCTGAAGATAAAATCGTACGCTTTCCGTTATTACAAATTTCGAATTTCTGTTATTCGGTCCTGTGTTACAGTCTCGTGAACTTTTCCGTCTCTGATATATGATTACTTACACCTGTTGTTATCATCATTATTATTCTCTAAACTAAGTGCTAAACCCAAAAAGGATCATACAGCACACTTAAACATGTATATTAATATACAGAATTAAAAAAAAAAAAGTGGCATTTTAGAGTCAAAATGAATTAAAGGCTGCATCGTGTATAGAAATACTACATTCACAGGTATGCAAACAAAAAAAAAAACATTGCCTAGAATTCATAATTGTTCTTCCATTGTGTGACCTTTCAAAACGGATTTGTTTATAGAATATAAAATTGTTGATTTGTTTTAGATATTGTGGGCGCTCACAAAGCCAAATAAAACTCAGCTGATATATAACGAAACATGGATGAAAGGAAATAATTTTAAAGTGTATCTTACATTAAATAACAATTGTGGCTTCCGATTTGTTAGTGCGACAACACTTTGGTCGATATTTTTTTTTTCTCATTTCGCGTTCCTATCAAATCCTACGGTGTTAATTCCCTCAATGTGTTATACAGCTAATCTTGTTTCGTGATATACGACGCAGCTATGATTTATTGTGTCATTAGCTGATAGTCCCAGCGACAACCTGCAACCAGCGTTCATGTTGCCTTCACTGGGGGTAACCTGCACGCAGCGTTCATGGTGCCTCCATTAGTAGCAACCTGCGCGCAGCGTTCGTGTTGCCTTCACTAGTGGCAACCTGGGCCCAGCGTTCATGCTGCCTTCACTAGTGGCAACCTGCAACCAGCCTTCATATTGCCTTCACTAGTGGCAACCTACACCCAGCGTTCATGTTGCTTTCACTAGTGGCAACCTGCACCTAGGTTCGATCCTTGAAAAGGGAGGATAGGTTCAGTTTCTTGGATCAAGAGCCCCCTTCCTCACCGGCATTAAAGTTCCCCATCAATGACCTTAAAAACTTAGTAATCATAACATGTGTAATTGATGGGCTGATGGACAGCGAGCTCGATCCTCCGTCAAGTTCAACTTTCCCCAGCCAGCCTTCACCTCGTCCCTATTATTGTATATATTGTTGGCGATACACTAAACCAGCAAGGATCATACAGCATGGGGAATGGGGCTGATGGGGAAGCAAGAGTAACAGATTTTCCCTAGAAGGGAAGCGTTATTATATTTATTATTATTATTATATCTAGGGGGAAGCGCTAAACCGGAGGATTATACAGCGCTGGGGGGGATGTGGGCTCAGGCTTATTCGGGGAACGGAGCACAGATCCAATTCCCTAAATTAAGAGCCCCTCACCAACATCAAGGAACCTTCCTTGAGGGGAGGATATTATTATAATCAAGGGGGAAGCGCTAAACCCGTAAGATTATACAGCGCCTGAGGGGGGGATGTGGAAGGTATTCAGGTTTAATTCAGGGAACTGGAGAACAGATCCAATTCCCTTGATCAAGAGCCCCTCACCAGCATCAAGGAACCTTTCTTGAGGGGAAAGAGAAGGATAGCTCCAATTTCTTGGATCAAGAGTTCTTCACCGTCATCATCCCTCTCCCTTATTAATAATTAATAACAGCAATGTTCTGTATAACAAGGGGCTTTCTGTATAGTAGTATGTCATTGATGTCAGTTATGGTCTGTATACCTTGTACATGTACTTATAGAAATAGAGATATTATTCTTATATACACAAAAATAATTGTTTTATTTTTTTTTCATTCATCATCCAACACACACAGGGTGTGTGCGTGTGTGATTCGACCCCCTGCAACGACACGTAAGTGAGTACAATCCATACCGGGTCGTGTCTATCAACAATTGCCTTTGACAAATAACAACCATTAAAAATTTACCTCACCATCAAGAACAGAAAGATTAATGCGATATTTTGATGTTATAATAATGTTAGCCATTCAGTGCAAGGGAATAATTTTTGTCCTCTTTACCGTAAAAAGGGTTGTAGGCATAGCTCCAAGATGTTATTGAGTGAAAGTTCGTTAATTACCGATTAAATTCTTACCAGTCTTTCAGTTAATAATCACTATTGCTATAACGTCTTTCATATTTATGTATTACATCATGTGCTGAACTCGAGGCGTCTGAGTGTCCTAACTCCTGAGGCATGTCGTGGGTGGGTACACAGCAGGCTCCGGCGGTGGGGGCACGGTCAGCACTGGCATCCTCCACAGTGCTTGTACCTGGCAGTGTGTCTGTGAGAACGGCTGACAGCTCTGGTGTCAGGTTATCCCACGACATCGAAGGTGCGAGGCTGTGGTTCATCTCTTCAACGTCGGTACTGCAAGAGTTAAGGTCGTCTTCCAGTGTCTGTGTGTACTGGCTCTTGTGCTGAGCCTCAGCGTCTCCTGCTTGCCTCTTCATCCGCTGTAGGGAGAAACAATGACCTCGTTGTGTACACAAAGAAATTCTTGAATTGTTGTTACATTCGTGGGAAGCACTAAATTTGTAGAAATCATACAGCGGCTGTGAACTGGGAGAGAATCAGGTTTGATCTAAGGAAGAGGAAGGTAGCTACAATTCTTTAATGAGTCCTTCACAAGCAACAACGAACTTTACTGGTTGTTTACATAGAGAAATTCTTGAATTGTTGTTATATTTCTGGGAAGCACTAAATTTTGGAGACTTATTACCAACCATCCACTGAGAATCCAGCCACTCAGTTCGCACCCATTAGTGACAGTGCCTTTCCCATTTTTTTTTTTTTTTGTGAATTGTTCTAGACACTTTAATACGACAATTCTTCTAGTTTTTACTACTGCTACTTGAATCTTTGTAAAATGACTAATTAAAAGTTAATATATGAGAAAACCTACAACATTTGACAGTCTTGAAATTTTTACCTGTCTTGGAGATGAATGGACTCCACAAGCTTGACAAAAGCCATATTTTAAGGCCATACGTCTCCTTACTTCTTGATCACGGTCCCGTTGAGAGTTGTGTACGCAAGAGAGGTCGTGGTGCTGGTGAAAGAGTAAGTCTTTTGAAGGGTATCTTTGCTCTCGCTGGGGCACCCACATGCCCAAGTGACTGCTAGCCTGCAAGGCAACACAACTGTCAGAACATTATTTACACAAACACACACACACGCAAGTGATGTAGTGGAGGCAGGAACCATACATAGTTTCAAGACGAGGTATGATACAGCTCATGGAGCAGGGGGAGAGAGGACCCAGTAGCAACCAGTGAAGAGGCGGGGCCAGGAGCTGAGTCTCGACCCTTGCAACTGCAATTAGGTGAATACACACACACACACGCACGCACGCGCGCGCAGTAGTGTGGCCGCCTCAATCCAAAAGTGGATAAGAGAAAATCCAAAGACTTGCTATCAAATGGCATTCAGATGTCAAAGAAAAAAGGTTACGAAGAGTCAGCACATTAAAGTTACACGAGTCACGATAAACATGCAAAATCATGAAACACGAGATATGATGAACACATTCCAGATCATAAAAAGGTACTTAGCATAATTAACAGGGAGAACAAAAGATTTAAACTATTTAGCAAGGGGAAAAAAGCGATTCTCAAAGGATACTGGAAATAAAATAAAAAATGGCAAATTTAATGCTGAGGGGAGACTACGAACATACATTGTTTTGCTCTTGTGCAGCCAGCAGCAACAGCCTGGTTGATCAGGCTCTGATCCACCAGGAGGCCTGGTCTCAGACCGGGCCGCGGGGGCGTTGACCCCCGGAACTCTCTCCAGGTAAACTCCAGGTAAACAAATAGATAATCACAACTGATTATAACTACGCACACATTCTAAAACTATATACCTTTCTGTAGACTTAAAATACCGTTTATAGTGGAAAACTGTGATAAATGCATTTTCTGCCTTATTTATTATTTTTATGCATGGAAAAACTAAAGGGGTTTACATTATTATTATTATAATCAAAAAAAAAAAGAAGCGCTAAGCCACAAGGGCTATACAGCAAAGGGGTTTACAGCACCAATGGAATGGGAAGTAATTAAATATGACTCCCATTCTATGAATCAAGAGGACTTTACCTGCATCAAAATATCCGTTGCTTGAAGGGTTAAAAAAAAAGCGGGAGTTAACCAAGCATTATGTTAAGAAACAATGCGGTTTACGGTATTTTACTGAGAAGATTATGTCCACCGGTGTCTATCAATTATTTTGTGTTAATGGTGGAAGTTTTGACCACTATCAACAATTCTTCTTAAAGCAATGTGTGGATCCTGCCTCCACTACATCACTCTCCCGACTTTTCCACTTCCTGACAACTCTATGACTGAATGATTTCCTAACTCCCCCCTGACTCATGAGTCCTCAACTTCCAGTTGTTGCTGTGTTCCATAATAGATGAGAATTGATAAAGACCCTGGTGGTCAAAACGTCTTTTCAGTACAATGCCATAAACCGCGTATTGTGTCTTATTAATATACTTGTTACTACTGTATATAATGACATTAGTATCACCCAAGCAGTGTACCTGATAGTGTTTCATCCGCTGTGGCTGAGGTCTGGGTGACACACAGGACACGGCACGAGGGAGGGTGTACTGCGTCTGCTGAGCGTCACTGACAAACCTTGGGTGACGTTCTCTCATGACCGTGGACACGAGCGGGTGGGAATAATTAAGGGGTTCTTTCTTTTCATTACTCGTCGTTGGCGACCGGTGCGCGGTGATCTGGCACCGCTCATGCTCCTCGCTCCCTTCCAACAACGTGTCCAGCCTCGAGTTCTCGGGGAGGTCGGAAGCCAAGTTGTCTGAAGATCGAGCTCGTGGAGGATCCACATGCTCGCAGCCACGTCTGTGAAAGTGTAAATTACTGGACGCAAGGTGGTATGAATCACTGTGGTTAGTATAACAGGTATCAGGATATTCAACATCTCCCTGTAACATTCTTGCCGGGTTTTCTATGGGCTCGTGCTGATGCTTATCCAGATTTTGAGGATACCTTTTATTGGTGATGTGTTTGTATTCTTTAACAGAGGTTCTTCGCTTCTGGAAATGTCTCGTTTGGAAAGCTCGAGCACCAGATCCAGTGAACCGGGCCTCACACTCCCGTCTCCTATCCTCATGTTGATTATGCAATCCCTGTGTTGTGTAACTTGAATTTGTCCCAAGGCTGTGCGTATGAGACCACTTGTCGCTGGTGGGGGTGTTGTAGCGAGGGTTGTAGGGAGAGGTTCGAGCCCTGCTACCGTAGAGGGGCTCAGTTCCTCCCTGGGTCTCGCAGCTCTTGTCCACCGCATTGCCAAGCTCCTCACAGCACGTGGCCTCCTGCTTGTTTATCTGTGCAGTAGTGTGCATGTGATGAGGGTTATGAGGAGGGCTTGGTGTCCAGCTCCGAGGTGTTGGCAAGGTAGGCAGCTGCTCGCCGAGGTACGACGCATGCAATCCTAAACTCCTGGAAACACCTGAAGGAGAAAAAAATTTCACCTCACAGGGAGCAACTAACAACTGTATGACCCATAAAAAGGGCTAACATTTGTTTTTTAATTTGTTAGTAATTCCTTAAGAAACCAATGTCAAGTAAGTATAACTTCAGAAACGTTACTTAACAAAGAATTCTTAACCCTTATATACAAAAGCCTACTTACATTATCCTCACAGCAACACTAAACCAATGACATCTGGGTAATGATCAATCAAGAGCGCTTTACCAACATCAAGATACTCGCTCCCCTTGTTAAATATATATATATATATATTTTTAGCAAACAGCTTTATTATATACTTTATGATCTTGTGAGTTGCAGTCAAAGAATTTTTGACATCGGCCTCAAATTTCTGACAACTGAATAAGCTAGTGATAACATAAATAATAATGGTAAAAAATCATCAAATGTTAAATGTTTATAAAATGTATATATAAATATACGTGGGCATAAGTCCCACACTACAAAGGCACGGAAATGGATGAGAGACTCAGCCTCGACGTTCTGTTGGCTTAGTAATACATATCTTAATGCGTCCGGGATCATACCTTCCTGGCCGGGTCTTAGGAATATGAACTATTAAACAGGATGGAAAGCCAAACTAGTGAATACATTTACCTGTAACATGTACCTGTCACCTTACGTGTTAATGAACTGGGAAGCAAAAATTAGTAATAGTGCCAGCGTACAAATCATTTAACCAGCTTCTGCTTCACACTCGCATGAAAGGACGGTAATTTTTCCTGGACTGAAGAACGATAATTATTCCTGGACTGTTGCTGTCAAGTAAGGACAGTCATAACTCACCTGAATTTTCATTAGCGTTGATACCACGGCGTTGTTTTGCATGATAGTGCCTGTGTGGGTCCGGCAAGCAGCCTAGCTCCTCCAAGTCTTCGTGCCAGTTTGGCCTTCGATGTCGGGGGCCACACTTGCAGAATACCACATAAATCCACACGCATCCTACCAACAGTACTACGGCCATCAGTGTTCCCAGTACTGCTACCACTACCAGCAGCTTCCATCTATCTTCTCCTAGTGTCACCAGATTACATCTCTATTACGTATATTATAATATCAGTTACATTATATGTAAAACACTCACGTATTTTTATCACCAAAATATTTGAAGCGAATTCTGAAAGCAAAGTCATACTTGACATAACCATTAATGGTACCATCGCTGTTTTGCCCTGTAATTGCAAAGAAAGAATAAAGTCACAATACCGTGCCTGGAACAATACACAAATAACTCGCAGTTGGGGGGGGGGAATTTATGAGGACGTTTCGTGTTATTTACGTAACGTAATTGCAGATATTATTCTCGCGAAAATGCGCTAGAAGTGCTGGGCTCCTGAAGGGTAGGATTGAACCTGTAAGCTTCCTATTCCCCAAAGTGCTCTATGACCCCTACCTGGAGTATACCTGGAGAGGGTTTCGGGGGTCAACGCCCCCACGGCCCGATCTGAAACCAGGCCTCGGTGGATCAGGGCCTGATCCACCTTGAGGCCTGGTCTATGAGCTTAGGACTTCCCCCTTAATTAAATTAAATTAAAAATAACTGAATTCCCATTAAACCTTTAGAATGCACAAGTTTTATTGCAAAAGGTGGGAAGAGCTAAACCTGTAGGGGTCTTACAGCTCAGTAGAAAGGAGAGACAATTAAGTTTGAGTCCCGTACGGGTCACACGTAGACATTTGTTTAGGCTTTGGGTACATAACATTATTATTATTATAATCAAGGGGAAGCGCTAAACCCGTAGGATTATACAGCGCCTGTGGGGGGGGGTGGAAGGCATTCAGGCTTTACTCGGGGAACTGGAGCACAGATCCAATTCCCTAGATCAAGAGCCCCTCACCAGCGTCAAGGAACCTTCCTTAAGGGATGGGTACATAACATACAATGGCCTCGACTCTCGAGAACACAGAAATTACGGAGACGTGAAAATTATGAGAGGGCAATCAGGGTCAATCCATGGGAAGGACGGGTTCACATGCCCGGATCAAGAACCATCACACCAATGGAAATAAATTACTTCTTTTGACCGTTTTTTCTAGGGGAGGGGGGGGGTATCCTAAGTAATTAACACACGTCACTATGTATGATAATTGTACTTGCCTAAACTTGTGCAACTGTACTTGTGTACCTAAATACACTTTAGTAAGTTTATTTAGCTACAGGTATACAAGTACGTACCTGATCAGCGGGGCTGTGGTTCATACGTCGGTTTACGTGCCATCAGCAGTAACAGCCTGGTTGATCAGACCCTGATCAACCACGATGCCTGATCTCAGACCAGGCCGCGGGGGCGTTGACCCCCCGAAACCCTCTCCAGGTAAAGCCCAAGATATGAACATAGTATGATGGAAGTAAGTCACTTTGACATTTAGGGTTATCCTAGGTATTCTACACGTCACTATATATGATAATTGTACTTATGTGGGTCCATACCTAAATAAACCTGTGTGTAAGTAAGTAAGTAAGTAAGTAAGTAAGTAAGTAAGTAAGTAAGTAAGTAAGTAAGTAAGTTTATTCAGGTATACACAAATACAGTTACATAGAATTATCATACATAGCAGCATATGTGTAGAGAACCTAGGATAACCCAAAAAAGTCAGACAGAGTGACTTATTTCCATTGGGGTGACCCACCCCCATCAAGGAAGCTTCCCTCGAAGGGACAGATATACTCTGTACATACCAGCTTCTGTCTCCTCAAAATAAGGGACTGTGGTGGTGGTAATGTTCATTTCTCTATGCCATGTTTGTGTTGATGTGTCATCATCAGCTGTTGGTAAATATATCTGGCGCTGCTCAACACATGCCTAAATTTAATTGTAACCTCATATATTTAATCCTTGGAGCTCATTAGTAAGTTTATTCAGGTACAGGTACATATAAATACAGTTACATAATTTATCATACATTGTAACATATGTGTTAAGTTACATAAGATAACCCAAATGAGCCATATAAAATGAATTATTTTCATTGTGGGCCAATATATGTTTATTAAATAATAAAATGAATAATGAGGCATGTGATTATGTGAAGATGTTGCAAATTAATGGTTTTAAACACAGTTTATGTGAAGTTAATTCCTTAGCGTATTTTTTTTTTTTGAGAGACTATTGTTTAAAATTTTATGTCCATTAAATAGATGATTATTATAGTCATATAGTTGTGATAGATTGTAATGATTTAATGTAGTAATATCCCAACACGCAATTATATGACTTATTTCCACTGGTCTATATTGACTCCCTCTCACACGATGACTAGACAAATTTATTCAGGAACAATTTATGAAATATTTGGATGATTATAATTGTCTTGTATAACAATATACGTACAAATTACTAAGGTTAGCCCCCAAAATAGTGAAGTTCATTTTAATCCTATAAATTTTGTTTTTATTCAATGATATCTTAGACAACAATGTAAGCAATAACGTAGAATACATTGCCATCTTTTTGGAAAAATATAAGCTACATTGCCTTTATTTGGTTAAGATAAAGTTACATAATGCACTATAATATAACCGTATCCTTGGTTAATTAATACAATTTTTTTTTTTACCTCTGTGCGAAATATAAATGAATATATAATACTTGTGACTTTGAGACTATTGTAAAAGTTTCAGCTTTGTGAAACTCATATAAAAACTTACTTGAGTTAAATCTTACATAATTTAGTATATCAAAACAGTGCAATGGTTTCAAAATATGAAGCATAAAAAAAAAAAAAATACAACACTGCCTAATCAGTGACTTGACACATTTACTATTAAATATTTTCCTATCCAATTCTGCAAAAAATATATATATATATATATATCCCAGCATTTGGAAGTAAGGTATTCATTTATTCATTTAATCTTACATAAACATGACAGCAAAAGCCGGATCAGGCGCCATTCAATGGACGTCCTATACTTTCCTTTCCTCTGGCAAAAAGGAACTTTGAAGTGAAAATGGCAGTATATCAGTAGAGCAGATACTATGAGGTTCAACCTTGCCCAGTTATGCTTCCTCAAGAGTAACTTAAGGTAAGGTATCTTATTCCTCTTTATAACTGATAAAAATAACTTGGATTTCTTGAAAGTTTTGTGAATTTAAACTTTCCAATTTAATTTATTTAGAGAATATTTTGAGCAGTTGATAAGTTGTTTAATTGCAGTTGGTGCTGCAACATCATTATATTAAGTACCAGATTATTATTATAACTAAGGGGGAACGCTAAACTCGGAGGATTATCAGCGCCTGGGGGGGGATTTGGAACTGTCAATTTAAAGGCTTATTTGGGGAACTGGAGCACAGATCACAATTCCTTAAATCAAGAGTCCCTCACCAACATCAAGGAACTTCCTTGAGGGGATATAAGACCAGAGTATCCCGAGATAAATGTAGCCCGGATAGCTCAGTCGGTAGAGCATTAGGCTTTTAACCTAAGGGTCCAGGGTTCGAGTCCCTGTTCGGGCGTGAGTTTTATTCACAACCTCAGAACCCGGGTTCAATCCTGGGATGAGCTTAAGGTATGGGCTAAGTATCCATAACACCTGCTGCTTCTGGTCACCTTTCAAGGGATAATTCCTTGAAAACCATGGAAGGTCCTGAATGCCAGAGATTAAAATTAAACCTGTTTGTATCCTATTTCCCAGGATCTATATGGCTCTTGTGGGTTTAGAGCTTCCCAGAAAGTGTAATAATGTTGAGAATTTCCATGTGCTTACAACCTAAATGATCCGAGTTCAATCCTGGGTGGGGCAAGAGGTCTGGGAAGTCTCTCCTATTATCTCTGTTCACCTAGAAGTGAATAGGTGGCTTGTGGTCAGTAGGTGGCTTGTGGGTCAAGTGGCTTGTGGCTCAGTAGGTGGCTTGTGGGTCAGTAGGTGGCTTGTGGGTCAGTAGGTGGCTTGTGGCTCAGTAGGTGGCTTGTGGGTCAAGTGGCTTATGGCTCAGTAGGTGGCTTGTGGGTCAGTAGGTGGCTTGTGGTTCAGTAGGTGGCTTGTGGCTCAATAGGTGGCTTGTGGCTTAATAGGTGGCTTGTGGCTCAATAGGTGGCTTGTGGCTCAATAGGTGGCTTGTGGCTCAGTAGGTGGCTTGTGGCTCAATAGGTGGCTTGTGGCTCAATAGGTGGCTTGTGGCTCAGTAGGTGGCTTGTGGCTCAGTAGGTGGCTTGTGGCTCAGTAGGTGGCTTGTGGCTCAGTAGGTGGCTTGTGGCTCAGTAGGTGGCTTGAGGCTCAATAGGTGGCTTGTGGTTCAGTAGGTGGCTTGTGGCTCAGTAGGTGGCTTGTGGGTCAGTAGGTGGCTTGTGGCTCAGTAGGTGGCTTATGGGTCAGTAGGTGGCTTGTGGCTCAGTAGGTGGCTTGTTGCTCAATAGGTGGCTTGTGGCTCAGTAGGTGGCTTGTTGCTCAATAGGTGGCTTGTGGCTCAGTAGGTGGCTTGTGGCTCAATAGGTGGCTTGTGGCTCAGGTGGCTTGTGGCTCAGTAGGTGGCTTGTGGCTCAGATAGATGGCTTGTGGCTCAATAGATGGCTTGTGGCTCAATAGGTGGCTTGTGGCTCAGGTGGCTTGTGGTTCAGTAGATAAGGTGTGGCTCAAGTGGTAACATCTTCAGCTCATATCTGAATGATGTGGGTTCAGTCCCAGCACAAGTGGAAATATTAGGCATGTTTCTTTGCAATTGTTCCCCATGTTAATCTGTCACTAGATAGGTAACCAACTGCTGTGGGTCACATTCTGGGGAAGAACATCAAAGAACTGCCAAGTAACTTTATTGTATTATCCTGGGTTACTAATCCTTAGGGTTAATAATCTGAATAAAATCTGGAGAAAAGTACTGTAATTTTTCACCTAGCAGTAAATAGGTACATAGGAGTTACTGGGCTGTTGTGGAAAACCAACAGCTAAGTAGCTCAAGATTAAATTATTCTAGATTATATTACCATAAATATAATAGATATCTGTATTAAACTTATTTATTTTATCACTAATGTATGCCTGTTACATTTACGTGGAGTTTACCTGGAGAGGGTTTCGGGGATCAACGCCCCCACGGCCCGGTCTGGCTGCACGCAAACTGACGTATAAACCACAGATCGGTTGGTCAGGTATTGACTTTAGGTGCCCATGCAGTGCCTTCTTGAAGACAGCCAGGGGTTTATTGGTAATCCCCTTATGTATGCTGGGAGGCATTTGAACAGTTGTGGTGCCCCTGCTTTTCATTGGGGGAATGCTACATCTGCTGAGTCTTTCACTTTCATGGGGAGTGATTTTTGTGTGCAAGCTTGGTACTAATCCCTCTAGGATTTTCCATGTGTATATTATCGTGTATATCTCTCGTCTGCATTCCAGGGAATCCGTGGGTACTTTCTACAAAGTTTTGCAAATGCAGTGGACTTTTTCGAGTGACTTGATGATACCCAATGCCTGGACAAAATGCCGCCAATCAAAGCGCCATGTAATAGCATACATGTCTCTTACCTAAATTTACCTTATCGCATCCTAAAGGAGGACCTATCAGGATCCCAGCATAAATAAGCCACATAGCTTGGTTTATTCTGAGTTATTAACCTTCCAGGGTTAATGGGCTTAATAATATGAATAAAATCTTACCTTTAGTAATCTGGTCATCATCAAGGAAGTATAGACTTGGTTCATTTTATCTCAGAATTTTGCCTGGCACTCGGTAAAATTTTTACCTAATTAAAAGAACATATCCTTCACGTTATATATTTATTGTACATGATATTACAGGCAACAAAGCAACATAAAAAAATATTTACTGAATCATGTAAGGCTTAAAAATATAGAAATTGTTAATAAGGTTTGATAAAAATTTTATTAAATATAAAATTTCAGTTCCACTTCCAGGTAAAGCATAAGGTATAATTTCATGAGTAATATGGAAATAAGTCACTTTGTCTGCCTTTTTTTTTGGATTATCCTAGGTAATTTACACATGTTGTTACGGAAGAAATTACAGTAAAACATGTGATTGCAAATATGAAAAAATATCACTGTGAAAATAGAAAATAAAACCTGAGTGCTTTTGTGCGTTTACACACACACGAGCACATGAAAGTGCTCAGGTTTTATTTCCTATTTTCACTGTGGTATTTTTTCATATGTTACTATGTATGATAATTGTACATGTACCTGTACCGAAATAAACTTACTAACTGTTGATTATGGTTTCTAATTTTTCAGTGATATTAATGATGCTACAATTTCAAGTAAGACTCAGACTTTGTTACATGATTATGGAAAGCTGATGGACAGCACAGAGAAGAAAGGAGGACTTAATAACTATGCTGATTCTGTCCTAGCTCTTCTCGGCAATAGTAAAAATGGTGAGTTTATTAAATTGTTTAAAATAAGACTTATGAGATAGTGTAGTATATTAGTGTACTGTATTTTCATAGAAAAATATTTGAATAATCCATTTCGGTACTAGTCCTAGAGGGACTAGTACCAAACTTGCACACGAAAATCACTCCCTACGAAAGCAAAAGACTTGGCAGACGATGCAACATCCCCCCAATGAAAAGCAGGGGTGTCACTAGCATGTTAAGAGACCATACAATAGGTGTCAGGGGCCCGAGACTGTTCAACTGCCTCCCAGCATACATAAGGGGGATTACCAACAGACCCCTGGCAGTCTTCAAGCTGGCACTGGACAAGCACCTAAAAGTCTGTACATGGTTTCCAGCCGCGGCTGTGGCTGATCATGGTTTGCATCAGCCCACAGAACAGCCGGGGGTTGATCCCGGCTCTGTCCATCCAGGTATAGGTGTGCAGGATGGGCCACGGGGGATCTGTACCCCGATATTTTTCTATGGTAAACTAAACCAGGTAAGTATACCATGGTGATGCAGGAGGCCATGGTTTGAATCTAAATATAATACTTATTATGAGTGTTTGTGCTTATGGATAAGTGCAAACCTTTAAGGATCATACAGCACTGGGGCAATGGGAGGCAATATGGTTTGATCTACAATGAGTAAGATACTCAAGTTCGATGGATGTTAAGAATTCTTACAAGCATATCAAGGCACCTGAAATCTGTGCATAAGCAATGGGCTTTCAAGGCATGCCAAACCAAATGTTACTATAATCTGTTACAACGTGCCGTCCTGGTGGAAATAAATCTTCGGACGGTTGACCCTGTTGAAGATGAACTGTTACAACATGTTTCACTGAAAAGCTGGGATTAGTAATTCGTGAGTCAAAGATTACGAAATAAATGGGTCTCAAGGCTCTCCTTTTGTATATGGATCAACATGATATAAGTAAATGGAAATTATTATCATCAGGGTATACAACAAATTCTAACCATACAATAGAGTGAAAAAATGTGAAGGACGTGGGAGTGATAGTGTCAGTGGATCTTGTCTTCAAAGACCACAACAATGTATCTTCCTCATCTGCTAGGAAAATGATAGGATGGATAATGAGAACCTTTAAAACTAGGGATGCTAAACCCATGATGGTCCTCTTCAAATTGCTTGTTCTCTTTAGGCTGGAATACTGCTGTACACTAACAGCCCTATTCAAGGCTGGAGACATTGCAGACCTGGAGAGCACACAAAGAACTTTCACGGCACACATAAGTACGATAAGGCACCTAAATTACACTTGGAAGGGCCTGGAGGGATTGGCACCAAAGTTGCACATGAAAAGCAGGGGCACTACGAATACATTGAGAGAACACAGTAAGTGTCCGGGGCCCAAGACTATTCAGCTGCCTCCCAGCATACATAGGGAAAATTACCAATAGACCCCTGGCTGTCTTCAAGAAGGCACTGGACAGGCACCTAAAGTCAGTACCAGACAACCAGGGCTGTGGTTCATACGTCAGGTTGTGTGCAGCCAGCAGTAACAGCCTGGCTGATCAGATCCTGATCCGTCATGAGGCCTGGTCTCAGACCGAGCTGCAGGGCCGTTGACCCCCGAAACCCTCTCCAGGTAAACATCATTGTTTTCAAGATGGCACTTAATAAAGCTTTATAAATTTCCTCCAAATTGTTTCTGAATAGTCAAGAGTAATTGTCAGAGATGATGCAAGTTGCCTGCATCAACACCCTGACTGATCAGGTCATTGATCTTCTTGCTCCCATGAATTTAAATCAGTAATGTAGCCAATATGTATATTTTATCTGGCCATAGAAATGTGTCTGAACATTTCAGTCATGACTTAACCTAGTTATTTTATTGTTTCTCTTTCCCTTTTGTTACCTTCATTATTTTGCTTTTCTTAGATATCTGCTTCCATTATCCTCATTTATGCAATATTTTTATCATTCTCTATATTGATATTTATTCCACTGAGTAAGTTTACATCACATCACTTATTTATATTAACTGTTTTAATCCCAAATTTAAGCTTTCAATCATTTAATTAATCTTAATAAAACACGTATCACATTTCACACACAGATGTCCCTTACAGTAGTTTTTTTATTTTAGAAGCAGATTTGTGTTTCTTCCCAGACAGTTTACTTGCCTTTAAATCTTAGACTCAAAAGAACATTGGATACATTTGCCACATAATTTTACTTGTTTCATTGATTACCATGCAAGAAAAGAGGTTGCTAGTAGCACTAATTATCACCACCCCAAAGCAGTTGCAAGGTATCGGTGGAATAGGTAGGATTAATTTGCTGCTCCAATGAACTGTGCTGTATGACAAGGATGCCTGTTTATTCATTGCATTTAAAAAGTGGAGTATGCAGTCTAAAGCAGATGTAATTAAATTTGCTCAGTGGAATTTGCATGTACTGGCCATTACAGCATTGGGTAGAACAGAATGTTCGACCGCATGATTATGTGACATACATCTCTTAAGTAGATGACGTATGTGCTGATTACTGTTGATTGTCCTAAAAAATGAATGAAAACTGAAGATTACTTCAGAAAGTCTATACAGTGTGCAGTGTAGAAGAAAAAAAATGGGTACGCACAACAGTACAAAAGAAATAAAATGGTAAATTGTATGAACAGTTATTTATTCTCTTGAATATTAGAATATGAGAAGTTTTTTTACAAAGTAGAAGTGATGCAAGGAGGGAAGAGTATATGGAGAAGAAGAGAGAGGTTAAGAGAGTGGTGAAGCAATGTAAAAAGAGAGCAAATGAGAGAGTGGGTGAGATGTTATCAACAAATTTTGTTGAAAATAAGAAAAAGTTTTGGAGTGAGATTAACAAGTTAAGGAAGCCTAGAGAACAAATGGATTTGTCAGTTAAAAATAGGAGAGGAGAGTTATTAAATGGAGAGTTAGAGGTATTGGGAAGATGGAGGGAATATTTTGAGGAATTGTTGAATGTTGATGAAGATAGGGAAGCTGTGATTTCGTGTATAGGGCAAGGAGGAATAACATCTTGTAGGAGTGAGGAAGAGTCAATTGTGAGTGTGGGGGAAGTTCGTGAGGCAGTAGGTAAAATGAAAGGGGGTAAGGCAGCTGGGATTGATGGGATAAAGACAGAAATGTTAAAAGCAGGTGGGGATATAGTTTTGGAGTGGTTTGTGCTATTATTTAATAAATGTATGGAAGAGGGTAAGGTACCTAGGGATTGGCAGAGAGCATGCATAATTCCTTTGTATAAGGGCAAAGGGGAAAAAAGAGAGTGCAAAAATTATAGGGGGATAAGTCTGTTGAGTATACCTGGTAAAGTGTATGGTAGAGTATTATTGAAAGAATTAAGAGTAAGACGGAGAATAGGATAGCAGATGAACAAGGAGGCTTTAGGAAAGGTAGGGGGTGTGTGGACCAGGTGTTTACAGTGAAACATATAAGTGAACAGTATTTAGATAAGGCTAAAGAGGTTTTTGTGGCATTTATGGATTTGGAAAAGGTGTATGACAGGGTGGATAGGGGGGCAATGTGGCAGATGTTGCAGATGTATGGTATAGGAGGTAGGTTACTGAAAGCAGTGAAGAGTTTTTACAAGGATGGTGAGGCTCAAGTTAGAGTATGTAGGAAAGAGGGAAATTATTTCCCAGTAAAAGTAAGCCTTACCTGGAGGTTACCTGGAGGTTATTCCGGGGATCAACGCCCCCACGGCCTGGTCCATGCCCAGGCCTTAGACAAGGATGTGTGATGTCACCATGGTGGTTCAATATATTTATAGATGGGGTTGTAAGAGAAGTAAATGCGAGGGTCTTGGCAAGAGATGTGGAGTTAAAAGATAAAGAATCACACATAAAGTGGGAGTTGTCACAGTTGCTCTTTGCTGATGACACTGTGCTCTTGGGTGATTCTGAAGAGAAGTTGCAGAGGTTGGTGGATGAATTTGGTAGGGTATGTAAAAAGAAAATTGAAAGTGAATACAGGAAAGAGTAAGGTTATGAGGATAACAAAAAGATTAGGTGATGAAAGATTGGATATCAGATTGGAGGGAGAGAGTATGGAGGAGATGAATGTATTCAGATACTATTTGGGAGTGGACGTGTCAGTGGATGGGTCTATGAAAGGTGAGGTGAATCATGGAATTGATGAGGGGAAAAGGGTGAGCGGTGCACTTAGGAGTCTGTGAAGACAAAGAACTTTGTCCTTGGAAGCAAAGAGGGGAATGTATGAGAGTATAGTTTTACCAACGCTCCTGTATGGGTGTGAAGCATGGGTGATGAATGTTGCAGCGAGGAGAAGGCTGGAGGCAGTGGAGATGTCATGTCTGAGGGCAATGTGTGGTGTGAATATAATGCAGAGAATTCGCAGTTTGGAAGTTAGGAGGATGTTCGGGATTGCCAAAACTGTTGTCCAGAGGGATGAGGAAGGGTTGTTGAGGTGGTTTAGACATATAGAGAGAATGGAGCGAAACAGAATGACTTCAAGAGTGTATCAGTCTGTAGTGGAAGGAAGGCAGGGTAGGCGTCGGCCTAGGAAAGGTTGGAGGGAGGGGGTAAAGGAGGTTTTGTGTGCGAGGGGCTTGGACTTCCAGCGTGCATGCGTGAGCGTGTTTGATAGGAGTGAATGGAGACAAACGGTTTTTAATACTTGACGTGCTGTTGGAGTGTGAGCAAAGTAACATTTATGAAGGGGTTCAGGGAAACCGGCAGGCCGGACTTGAGTCCTGGAGATGGGAAGTACAGTGCCTGCACTCTGAAGGAGGGGTGTTAATGTTGCAGTTTAAAAACTGTAGTGTAAACACCCTTCTGGCAAGACAGTGATGGAGTGAACGATGGTGAAAGTTTTTCTTTTTTGGGCCACCCTGTCTTGGTGGGAATCGGCCAGTGTGTTAATAATAATAATAATAAAAAAAATTACATACTTAGTTGTCTTTGTATTTAGGTTAACTGTATGGAGATCAAATACTGTACAGAAGCTGGTAAGGGTTGATAAGGTATCTAATTGGAATATGGTACCAGAAATTATGAACAAACACCCCTCAAGGTGCCTTGATTCAGGTGATGGGCTATTGATCTAAGGAGCAGGACTTATCTTCCCCTTCCTTGGATTGAACCTTAAATACAGTGCCTATCATTCTCCAGGTGATAGGGTACCCCTGTAGGTTTATGCTTCCACTGATTAAAATAAAAAATAAATATGAATAAATACAGGAGGGTGTGTAAAGGTAAAAAGTTGCAAGTGAACATAGATAAGAGTAAGGTGATGAGGGTATCAAACGATTTAGATAAAGAAAAATTGGATATCACATTGGAGAGAGGGAGTAGGAAAGAAGTGAATGTTTTCAGATATTTGGGAGTTGATGTGTCAGTGGATGGGTTTATGAAGGATGAGGTAAACCATACAATTGATGAAGGATAAAAGGTGAGTGGTGCAATTGAGGTATATGTGAAGACAAAAAACATTATCTATGGAGGCAAAGAAGGGAATGTATGAAAGTATAATGGTACCAACACTCTTATATGGCAGTGAAGCTTGGGTTATAAATGCTGCAGTGAGGAGGCAGTGGAGATGTTCTGTCTAAGGGTGGTGTAAATATTATGCAGAGAATTCGGAGTGTGGAAATTGGGAGAAGGTGTGGAGTTAGTAAAAGTATTAGTCAGAGGGCTGAAGAGGGGTTGTTGAGGTGGTTTGGTCATTTAGAGAGAATGGCTCAAAGTAGAATGACATGGAGAGCCTATAAATCTGTAGGGGAAGGAAAGCAGGGTAGGAGTCGTCCTCGAAAAGTTTGGAGGGGTAAAGGAGGTTTTCTGGGCGAGGGGCTTGGACTTCCAGCAAGCATGCATGAGCATGTTAGATAGGAGTGAATGGAGATGAATGGTTTTTGGGCCCTGACAAGCTGTTGGAGTGTGAGCAGGGTAATATTTAGTGAAGGGATTCACTAAATATTACCTGGAAATGGAAAGTACAATAACTGCACTTTAAAGGAGGGGTTTGGGATATTGGCAGTTTGGAGGGATATGTTATGTACATATCTTTATATATGCTTCTAAACTGTTGTATCTGGGAGCCTCTGCAAAGACAGTGATTATGTATGAATGAGGTGAAAGTGTTTTCTTTTAGGGGGATTTTCTTTCTTTTTGAGTTACCCTGCCTCGGTGGGAGATGGCCAACTTGTTGAAAAAAAAAATAAAAAAACAGTATCTTAAATTCACTTGTAACATGATTTTTATATAGTGTACAAAAAGACTTGTTAAATGTATCCAATTGTACTTTTCCTTTCTTTGGTTGAATTGTTTAAAATAATTTTTTTTTTTTAATTTTGTTTTATCAGAGAGCAAAAACTGGAAATGTAGCTTACAATCTAAGGATATCATTGATAAGTACTTGAAACCCCTGCCTTCTATGTCCAGTACCCTAATGGAAGAATCAAAAAAACTGTCAGACCTGCTTAATAAGTATGAGGAAAGAAAGCCACCACATGTACAATTGAACAGTGATGGATCTGTAAGCACAGAGATGACAGCATCAAAGAGTCTGGACGTAGCACAACACAAGAACATGAAAGTGCCTTTTAACTTGGTGCGTGAAGACTTCGACAAGTTTACTATGGCAATTGAGAAAGACCAGGTAAGAAGTAGATGAATTTTGCTAACTTCATTATGAGCCAGTTGTACTGTGATGGCAAACCTTAAGGTCATAAGACAAGAGGAACACTGCAGTAGGCTTACTGGCCTATGCTAAGTAGGTCCTATCACACCTACCTCTTCCCATATTTGTCTAATAATGTGTGACATGCTTGTACGATATTTGTATAGACTGACGTTAATATGGTATGGGATATTTGTATAGACTGATGTTAATGTATTATGGGATATTTATATAGACTGAAGTTAATATGGTATTGGATACATGTTTAGAGTGAAATTAACTTGTTGACCAGACAGAAAAATGGCTGAATATTTTTTTTTGTCTTGTACAATGTCTCATAGTTAATGAATCCTAGAACTTTAGAGAACAGCCATGGCACAGATGATGTTCAAGTGTCTTCATAATGATCCAGGATAGACTGAAGCATTGTCTGAAGTTTCCTTTTTTAAATTTTGGGCTGTTCCAGTTTTTAGAGCTTCTTTAATGTTCCAAAGTTACATTGAGTAAACAGAACTTAACCAGTTCTACGACACTTGTACTATAATTTTTAAAATGTGGGCTTTCTGGGATTTTCCCAGACCCCTGGTGGGGAGCTTTTGTCTTTATTTACATAATTTTTATTTTTATCACATGTTCATAAACAGTGGACCCCCGGTTAACGATATTTTTTCATTCCAGAAGTATGTTCAGGTGCCAGTACTGACCGAATTTGTTCCCATGAGGAATATTGTGAAGTAGATTAGTCCATTTCAGACCCCCAAACATACACGTACAAACGCACTTACATAAATACACTTACATAATTGGTCGCATTGGGAGGTGATTGTTAAGCGGGGGTCCACTGTATACAATAAAAGCCCATAAATATTATTAATTTAACCCGTAAACAGTCCAAACGTATATATACGTTTTTTCAACATTTGAAAGTATGTAAAAAAAAGTAGATCTTCTTGTTTTTTTACATTTGAAAATGTGTAAAAAAAACTTTGATCTACTTTTTTTTTTGTTATGTTTGAAAATATGCAAAAAAACGTAGATCTACTTTTGTAGCACTACACATGTGAACGTAGATCTGCTTGGACTGTTTATGGGTTAAAAATGTTTTCATCTATTAATATTAGAGTACAGTATAATGTACAGGTAAATTTTTGTTTTCTTTTTTTCAATTTGCTTTTCTGTACCGTACAGTACAGTGTTTAGTTACTGAATACACTGCTATACATCTAAACAGAAAATTCAAAATAATTTTATCCACAGAAAAGACTTGAGGCACCTGACAATCTCTCATTATTTAACATGAATGGTGAGTATTGCACTTTTATTTGAAAAGTTACATTTAATACCCATTAAGTTTGTTGAATTTTCATTCACATAACCTGGCCTGTCACATTTTTTGCACCTGGTTTGAATTTTGAAGTTTAGTTAATATTTTGGAGATAGTTCTTATACAGTGGAGATTGTGTAGGTGTGTGGAAGGAAAAGCTCTGGTTTGTAGAGATGATTTCATAAGTTAAACAGAGATTTTGTTGTACAAGTATTTCATGATGCACCAAACCCTTGCAAATCAATCAGAGCAGGAGTAGTGGAGGCTTGATCCTCCCTCTCTGGTGATTGCAGTATTCATTATATTTTTTTTTCTCTCAAGCCAGCCATCTCCCACCAAGGCAGGGTGACCCAAAAAGAAAGAAAAATCCCCAAAAAGAAAATACTTTCATCATCATTCAACACTTTCACCTCACTCACACATAATCAATGTTTTTGCAGAGGTACCCAGGACACAACAGTTTAGAAGCATATACGTATAAAGATACACAACATATCCTTCCAAACTGCCAGTATCCCAAACCCCTCCTTTAAAGTGCAGGCATTGTACTTCCCATTTTCAGTACTCAAGTCCGGCTATATAAAAATAACCGGTTTCCCTGAATCCCTTCACTAAATATTACCCTGCTCACACTCCAACAGCTTGTCAGGTCCCAAAAACCATTTCTCTCCATTCACTCCTATCTAACACACTCACACATGCTTTGCTGGAAGTTCAAGCCCCTCACCTGCAAAACCTCCTTTACCCCCTCCCTCCAACCTTTTCAAGGATGACCCTTATCCTGCCTTCCTTCCCCTTCAGATTTATACGCTCTCCAAGTCATTCTACTTTGATCCATTATTTTTAAATGACCAAACCATCTCAACAATCCCTCTTCAGCCCTCTGACTAATACTTTAAGTAACTCCACACCTCCTAATTTCCAAACTCTGAATTCTCTGCATAATATTTACACCACACATTGCCCCTAGACAGGACATCTCCGCTGCCTCCAGCTGCCTCCTCTTCTTGTGGTACAGTATTTGGATAACATATTTGAGCTCTAATTGCTGTAACTGGTAAAGATAAAAATACAGTGATCTAAAAGTGCCTCCTGAGTGATCATTTTTATTCAGAATCATTGAATAGAATCACATTATTGTGCAGTATATATGAATCACTATACAATATTAGGTATCAGATGTTACTTCTTTTTACTCATGTTATTATGGATTAGTAACTCATTAATTTGTTTGTTTTAAGTGTTTTTTATTTATTTCTTAGTTGCTTTCATTTACTTTTAACATATGAATATTTTTCTGTCATTTTAGGTTCATTCAGAAGTGCAGAGTTAAAGGCTAACACCAGCTCCATTCTTTCAAGTGGAGGACAAAGAATGCATGACAAGGGAGGCTCCTATCCTTGGGATAGACTGAAAATGGCAGGTCCCAGTGAAAGAGGATATGATATGAATGAAGGATCTGTGGGAATTGGAAGGAACATGTCTGGTAAAATGTTACATGATTCCTTCAACGGAACTTATGAAGGAGCGTCCAATTATTCTGGAAGAGGGAAAGGTTTTAGACGAGACTTGAAGGATGACTCCATGGGAAACATTTCTCATGAGGTACACCATGGACACTCAGTCAGGAGCTGGAGGGGCAGAGGAAAAGGTATATAGATAATTATACAGTACTCTGATTAATTTTTGCTTTGTTTCTACGTATTATACAAAAAAGTTTCATGTTGTGTCATAACTATGTTATATTCATTACCAATGTGTGGTGTCCCGTGCTTCAGTTGGTAACACTCTGAACTCGCATAGTGAAGGTGTGTGGTTCAGTTTCCAGCAAGGATGGACATGTTTCATTACATCTGTTGCCCTTGTTCACCTAGCAGTAAAGAGATACATGGGTGTTATTTAACTGTTGTGGGTTGCAACCCAGGGGGTGTTAGTATACCTTAAATAAGGCTGTGCTTTAAAATGAGTTTAGGTAGAATAATAGCTCCTAGCCCTTAAATTCAACTGTTTAAAAATAATACTCTGTTTTTTGCGAATAATAATTTTTTTTTTTAGCCCACCTGCCATCTCTCACTGAGACAGGGTGACCTGAAAAAAGAAGAAACAAAAGTTTTTCTTCTCTTTACATTTAGTAATATGGATGTATCAGTTAAAAACAGAGAACGGGAGTTAGTAGATGGGGAGATGGAGGTTTTGGGTAGATGGCAAGAATATTTTGAGGAACTTAAATGTCGATGAAGAAAGGGAGGCGGTAATTTCATGCACTGGCTAGGGAGGTATATCATCTTTTAGGAGCGAAGAAGAGCAGGATGTGAGTGTGGGGGAGGTGCGTGAGGCATTATGTAGAATGAAAGGGGGTAAAGCAGCTGGAACTGACAGGATCATGACAGAAATGTTAAAAGCAGGAGGGGACATAGTGTTGGAGTGGTTGGTATTTTTGTTTAATAAATGTATGAAAGAGGGGAAGGTACCTAGGGATTGGCAGAGAGCATGTATAGTCCCTTTATATAAAGGGAAGGGGGACATAAGAGATTGTAAAAATTATAGAGGAATAAGTTTACTGAGTATACCAGGAAAAGTGTACAGTTGGGTTATTATTGAAAGAATTAGAGGTAAGACAGAATGTTGTTGAATTAATTAATTATTAATTAACATGTCGGTTCTCTGAACCATTCATCTACAAGACAGAATGTAGAATTGCGGATGAGCAAGGAGGTTTTAGAGTGGGTAGGGGAGGTGTAGATCAAGTGTTTACACTGAAGCATATATGTGAGCAGTATTTAGATAAAGGTAGGGAAGTTTTTATTGCATTTATGGATTTAGAAAAGGCATATGATAGAGTGGATAGAGGAGCAATGTAGCAGATGTTGCAAGTATATGGAATAGGTGGTAAGTTACTAAATGCTGTAAAGAGTTTTTATGAGGATAGTGAGGCTCAGGTTAGGGTGTGTAGAAGAGAGGGAGACTACTTCCCGGTAAAAGTAGGTCTTAGATGGGGATGTGTGATGTCACCATGGTTGTTTAATATACGTACATGTATTTATAGATGGGGTTGTAAAAGAAGTAAATGCTAGGGTGTTTGGGAGAGGGGTGGGATTAAATTATGGGGAATTAAATACAAAATGAGAAGTGACACAGTTACTTTTTGCTGATGATACTGTGCTTATGGGAGATTCTAAAGAAAAATCGCAAAGGTTAGTGGACGAATTTGGGAATGTGTGTAAAGGTAGAAAGTTGAAAGTGAACATAGAAAAGAGTAAGGTGATGATTTTTGCGAAATTATTGCATACACAAAGTTTCTCTTCGGCAAATAGAGCGTGTCTATTTAAGTCAAAATCGCAAGTTTTACCTATTCTGCACGATACACACACACATGGAGAGCCAAGATGATGGATGTGGTTGTGGAAAATCTCATGGAGAGTATCAAATGATTTAGATAAAGAAAAATTGGATATCAAATTGGGGAGGAGGAGTATGGAAGAAGTGAATGTTTTCAGATATTTTGGAGTTGACGTGTCAGCGGATGGATTTATGAAGGATGAGGTTAATCATAGAATTGATGAAGGAAAAAAGGTGAGTGGTGCATTGAGGTATATGTGGAGGCAAAAAATGTTATCTATGGAGGCAAAGAAGGGAATATATGAAGTATAGTAGTACCAACACACTTATATGGGTGTGAAGCTTGGGTTGTAAATGCTGCAGCAAGGAGGCGGTTGGAGGCAATGGAGATGTCCTGTCTAAGAGCAATGTGTGGTGTAAATATTATGCAGAAAATTCAGAGTGGAAATTAGAAGGTGCGGAGTTAATAAAAGTATTAGTCAGAGGGCTGAAGAGGGTTTGTTGAGGTGGTTTGGTCGTTTAGAGACAATGGATGAAAGGAGAATGACATGGAGAGCGTATAAATCTGTAGCGGAAGGAAGGCGGGGTAGGGGTCGTCCTCGAAAAGGTTGGAGGGAGGGGATAAAGGAGGTGTTGTGGGTGAAGGGTTTGGACTTCCAGCAAGCGTGCATGAGCTTGTTAGATAGGAGTGAATGGAGACAAATGGTATTTGGGACCTGACAATCTGTTGGAGTGTGTGCAGGGTAATATTTAGTGAAGGGATTCAGGGAAACCGGTTATTTTATATAACCGGACTTGAGTCCTGGAAATGGGAAGTGCAATGCCTGCACTCTAAAGGAGGGGTTTGGGATATTGGCAGTTTGGAGAGATATATTGTGTATTTTTATACGTTCAGTGGACCCCCGGTTTGCGAAGCCATCGGTATCCGATAAATCCGGTATCCGAAGCATTGTATCGCAAAAAATTTGCCTCGGTTCCAGTTACAAATCCCGGTATGCGATACGATTCGTACGAGACGTGTCCAGTGTTTACAAGCCAGCCAGTGTGCGCGCATCTAAGAATACATTCAGTACATTCTATATTATCCATATTATCACTGTTTTTGGTGCTTGTTTCTGCAAAATAAGTCACCATGGGCCCCAAGAAAGCTTCTAGTGCCAACCCATCGAGACCAAGGGTGCTAATGACTATTGAAATTAAGGAAATGTGTGCAAAGTGGCTTGAAGTGCAAATCTTTTTTGATGAAAATCACCCTGACACAGCTACTGCAAGCCGTGTTGGCAACCTGTACACTGACAATGTTATGAACCACTTTAAGAAAGTCAAAAAGGAACGAGAGTTACAGGCCTCTATGGACAGATATGTTGTGCGACGGAAGTCCAGTGACTCAAGCTGGTTCTAGTTGCATTAAAAGAAGAAGGGAAGTAACCCCGGAAAAGGACTTGCTACCTCAAGTCCTAATGGAGGGGGATTCCCCTTCTGAACATTAAAAACTTCGACACTCTCCCCTCCTCCCATCCCATCAATCATCACCAGATCTTCATTAAAGGTAAGTGTCAGTTATTCTATTGTGATTATTCTGTTGTTATTATTGTTATTGTAATTATTATATTGCATTAAATTTAATATATCATGTGGTAAAAGTTTTTTTTTCATACTTTTGGGTGTCTTGCACGGATTAATTTGATTTTCATTATTTCTTATGGGGAATAATGATTCGCTTTCTGATAATTTTGGTTTACGATGAGCTCTCAGGAACGGATTAATATCATGAACCGGGGGTCCACTGTATATACTTCTAAGCTGTTGTATTCTGGGCACCTCTGCAAAAACAGTGATTATGTGTGAGTGAGGTGAAAGTGTTGAATGATGATGAAAGTATTTTCTTTTTGGGGATTTTCTTTCTCTTTGGGTCACCCTGCCTCGGTGGGAGACGGCCAACTTGTTGGAAAAAAAAAAAAATACAGAAGTGGTTATTAGTCCCTTGCTCTTGGCATTTAAGTTGCATCTCGCAACACACATGGTTTATGAAGGAAAGATTCTTCTCCTCTTCCTCATGGAGGATGATGATAATAATAATTATTATTATTATTATTATTATTATTATTATTATTATTATTATTATTATTATTATTATTATTATTATTATTATTATTATTATTATTATCTTTTTTGCTTGTGGTTGCATTATAAAATCATTGACTTGAAGCTCCACACAGAGCAAAGGATTATCATGAAAATAATTTGCTCTTCTTCCTTGTCTTCACTCATGTTAGCAAAATGCACTTGTATTCTCAGTACTGTTTTATTTGCAGCAGGTGCCGGAACTTACCAGTGGAAGAGAAGTAACGAAGAATTTGTTGAAGATGAGCCAGGTCTAAGTGAGAGGGGTTCGACTGACTCTCACTTTAGGACAGCTTCTCATCAGCTGGTACGGTGTTTCATAATTATTTCCATAGGCTGTTGTACTTCAATTTAATGGACCTCAATTTCAGGAATTTGGGATTTAATGGACAAAGTCTTTTAAATAAAAGACTATTCATTATCGTTACACCATTTGAAAACAGTCTCGTCATTTGTGATTTGGCAGTGGTCCAGGACAGACTGAATCATCCTCTAAGTACAAGTTTTTGGTGAATCATCATTCAATTTTAATGGGCAGTTGGCATTTTCAGACACCCCCTTCCCTTTTCAATTTATTAATGCCAGTTTCACTGTGTGTGTGTGGGGGGGGGGTCTCCTAGGTAGTAGGTTGGTGGACAGCAACCACCCAGGGAGGTACTACTGTCCTGCCAAGTGAGTGTAAAACGAAAGCCTGTAATTGTTTTACATGATGGTAGGATTGCTGGTGTCTTTGTTTTTCTGTCTCATACACATGCAAGATTTCAGGTACGTCTTGCTACTCCTGCTTACACTTAGGTCACACTACACATACATGTAAAAGTATATATATACATACCCCTCTAGGTTTTCTTCTATTTTCTTTCTTGTTCTTGTTTATTTCCTCTTATCTCCGTGGGGAAGTGGAACAGAATTTTTCCTCCGTAAGCCATGCGTGTTGTAAGAGGTGACTTAAAATGCCAGGAGCAAGGGGCTGGTAACCCCTTCTCCTGCATATATTACTAAATTTAAAAGGCAAAACTTTCGTTTTTCCTTTTGGGCCACCCCGCCTTGGTGGGATATGGCTGGTGCATTGGAAGAAAGAAATATATACGTATATCCCTAGGTAGTAGGTTGATAGACAGCAACCGCCCAGGGAGGTCCTCCCAAGTGAGTGTAAAACGAAAGCCTGTAATTGTTTTATACGATGGTAGGATTGCTGGTGTCCATTTTTTGTCTCATAAACCTGCAAGATTTCAGGTACATCTTGCTGCTTCTACGTACACTTAGGTCACACTACACATACATGTACAAGCATATATATATACACACCCCTCTGGGTTTTCTTCTATTTTCTTACTAGTTCTTGTTCTTGTTTATTTCCTCTTATCTCCATGGGGAAGTGGAGCAGAATTCTTCCTCCGTAAGCTATGCGTGTTGTAAGAGGCGACTAAAATGCCAGGAGCAAGGGGCTAGTAACCCCTTCTCCTGTATAAATTACTAAATTTAAAAAGAGAAACTTTTGTTTTTCTTATTGGGCCACCCTGCCTTGGTGGGATACGGCCGGTTTGTTGAAAAAAAAAAATATACATGTATATATCTTAGGTAGTAGGCTGGTAGACAGCAACCACCCAGGGAGGTACTACTGTCCTGCCAAGTGAGTGTAAAACGAAAGCCTGTAATTGTTTTACATGATGGTAGGATTGCTGGTGTCCATTTTTTGTCTCGTAAACCTGCAAGATTTCAGGTACATCTTGCTGCTTCTACTTACACTTAGGTCACACTACACATACATGTACAAGCATATATACACACACCTCTCTGGGTTTTCTTCTATTTTCTTTCTAGTTCTTATTCTTGTTTATTTCCTCTTATCTCCTTGGGAAAGTGGAACAGAATTCTTCCTCGTAAGCAATGCGTGTTGTAAGAGGCGGCTAAAATGCCGGAAGCAGGGGGTTAGTAACCTCTTCTCCTATATATATTACTAAGTGTGAAAGGAGAAACTTTCGTTTTTCCTTTTGGGCCACCCTGCCTTGGTGGGATACGGCCGGTGTGTTGAGAGAAATAAAGATGTATGTATGTATGTGTGGCACAGTATATTATTATTAACTGCATTATTTCAGTTTATAAAATTTTGTCTCGTTCAGTAATTTTGGTTAAATCTCTAGCTTTCTACATTTAGTTATTGAAACAACAAATTATAATGGTATGGAAATTCTCTCAGATTCTTAATATTATTATTTTACTGTGATAATGTGATATTAGCATTTAAATTAAACGTGAATGTAAAATTCCACAGTTAATAGAACAGCAGAAGAAGTGGGGTAAAGGAGTGAGTGGTGCATCCTATGGAACAGGGAAGAGGTCGCTGGGTGTCAGAAGAGCTGTGAACACAAAATTTGTCCCACCTGTGAGAAGAGAGGATGAGGAAGAGTAAGACTAGTTTTGTTTTTTTCAGTGATTGGTAGTTACTTTTAATCCTATTATTTTTGTGATAAGCATTAGGATTAGTGCATTAGTGTTTGCAGTAAAGCTAACAGGATCCTTGACTTCATAGCAAGAAGTATAAATAATAGAAGTCCTCAGGTTGTTCTTCAACTCTATATATCTTTGGTTAGGCCTCATTTGGATTATGCTGCATGGTTTTGGTCACCATATTACAGAATGGATATAAATACACTGGAAAACATACAAAGGAGGTTGACAAAGTTGATCCCGTGTATCAGAAATCTTCCCTATGAGGAAAGACTGAGGGCCCTGAATCTGCACTCTCTAGAAAGGCGTAGAATTAGGGGGGATATGATTGAGGTGTATAAATGGAAAACAGGAATTAATAAAGGGGATGTAAATAGCGTGCTAAAAATATCTAACATAGACAGGACTCGCAGCAATGGCTTTAAATTGGAAAAATTCAGATTCAGGAAGGATATAGGAAAGCACTGGTTTGGTAATAGAGTTGTGGATGAGTGGAACAAACTCCCGAGTACCATCATAGATGCTATTACAGGAGAATGTCTTTCCGGATAGGCTTCAAACTTTTAGGGTTTGTGGCCTTTATTAAAAGAAAATTTGGTATTCAATTTGAAGTGTGTTAATTGTGACTTTTTTTGTATTCTTACTTGGTGCAAGTAATAAATTCATTCAAAGAATTTCTAAACCAGCATGGGAAATCTGCAATTCTTTAAGTTAAAAATTTATATATTTTTAGTCTTGTATCCTGTTGTTTCTATTCCTTTAACTGCAAGAATTTTCCTGAGGATGGTGTAATTTTGCATCAAGTCATCTAACCCATTAACCTATAATTACTGTGGATGTAAAATTGCTCTATGTATTTCCTTATGTGTGATGTATCTTCATAATAAAGATTTTATTTTTCCTACAGAAAGCTTTATTGTGTCAGTTTTAGCTTCATTGTGTCAGTTCTAGCTTTATTGTGTTAGTTCAAGTTTTGTGTCAGTTCTAGCTTTATTGTGTCACTTCTAGCTGTATTGTCACTTCTAGCTGTATTGTGTCACTTCTAGCTGTATTGTCACTTCTAGCTGTATTGTGTCAATTTTAGCTTTCTTTTGTCAGCTCTAGCTATATTTTGTTTCATCATCCAGATATATTTTTTATCAGCTGAAACTGCTAAAGTATTTCATTTTCTAGCAATTTAGGTAGTGATGAACTCATGAGAAGATGCATGCCATATGGTAACTCTGGCAGGAGCAGAGGCGGAGCTGAAGATATTCCCTATTCTGAGCTTATGACTGACGAAAGATTAAAGGTAAGTCTGGCATACCATTTCTTAATGTTTTTACATGTTAACAGTCTGGTGAAACATTTATAAGAGTTTATGTCAGCAGTAAGTTGGCAGCCAGCACCCATCCAGGGAGGTACTGGTTAGTGAGCAAAAGCAGGGTTTGTACAATACTGTATCATGTGAGGCTTATGGGCAGCTAGTAGCAACAAAAGTTTGACCAAGCAAGCAACAAGGATGTGTGGACTCGGGCCGGGCTACAGGGATAGTTGACCCTTATAGAGTTCTCCTTGCCAAAGGTATAATCATAGTTTAAATAAAATTGTGACATATTGTATATCACTTTTTGTTTTTTGCTGCCCTCTTAAAAATTTAACAAAAGTTAACCTTTCAGAATATTGAGCCAAAGATGGTGGAACTTATAATGAATGAGATTATGGATAGTGGACCAGCTGTAACGTGGGATGATATAGCTGGACTAGATCTGGCTAAAAGTACAATTCAGGTAAGATTTTCAAGGCTTATAAGCCTTCTTTCAACAGACTGGCTGTATCCCACCGAAGCAGGGTGGCCCAAAAAGAAAAACAAGAGTTTCTCTTTTTAACTTTAGTAATGAATACGGGAGAAGGGGTTACTAACCCCTTGCTCCTGACATTTTAGTCGCCTCTTATGGCACGCATGGCTTACGGAGGAAGAATTCTGTTTCACTTCCCCATGGAGAGGCTTGTAAGTATATATTCTTTCTAACACACTGGCCATCTCCTGTTAAGGTAGGATGACTCGAAAATGAAACACTTGTAATTGAATCTAGGTCATACTGGGATATTACCTGCATAAAGTTTGTTAGGTATCCCTGTTTTTTATTTATTTAATTTTCCTCGATGCTATACAGACAATATCTTAACAGTACTACTACATGTTGATTTGAAACTTATCATAAAAATAATAATAATTTGGGAATTTGTAAGTACGTAATTGCACAATGAACTGAAAATATAACAACAACGATAAAATAAGAACACTAAAGTTTATATTCTTGATTGATGGTATGATCATCAGAATCATAAGCTCTACAAAAAGAGATGTGCTTTCAGCTGAAACTTAGAAGTATGAACAAATTCTTAACTTTTAAAAGAGGTACTGGTAACCAGTTATACAGTCTGAGAACTACATCAAAAAGGGCTTTTTCTGCAAATTATTTCTCTCCAGGATATTGTACAGAGCAGTAATTTCATTTTTGAAAATCACCATCTATTAATATCCTTTTCTGTAAAAATGAATGGTGAGTGTTGAATGATGGTGAAAGTGTTTTTTTTTTTGGGTCATCTTGCCTTGGTCAACATGCTAAAAAAAAAAACTTTCAGTATGATAATTACCTCCACTTTAAAATAAGTAAATTTATTAAGCACTGTTCAGTAATATGGATATTCTTACATTTTAACAGCCCAGATTATCGCTTAAATTAATGTTTCTTGCCACTCTAAACTGCATTTGTACCCATTTGGGTTAATATCTTTTTGACATCTGTAGCTGTAGTATCCCCTCGTGAAACGAAATAAAAAATCAAGGGCTGATAGTTTACGTTTTACAGACCTTTGAAACACACAGTAATATCTTTATATATTTTTTCCTTTTTGATAAATGACAGTAGCTTCTTTAATTACCTATTTTAATGGTTGTTATTTAGGCCATATGTGTGTCTGTAAAATTTTTATATTTTTTTAAATATGGAGAATTGGTTGGTGTTATACTGCATATTGATTTGTATGACTGTCAATTTTCTAATTTATTTAAAATTTCACAGGAGGTTGTGGTATGGCCCATGCTTCGTCCAGATATTTTCACGGGATTAAGAGGCCCACCCAAAGGTATACTACTCTTTGGTCCTCCAGGAACAGGAAAAACTATGATTGGTAATTATAAGACTTATCATTGTGTGAGCAAAATTGATTATTTTATCATAGTTACCAGAGTTAAGTTGTTCTTGTGTTGTCCAGTCATTTAATTTAATTATTTTTAAGGTTTCTGGTGGACTTGGCACATATTGCATTCTCTCAAAGCTCCTCCTACCCCTCTATAACTTTTTCTTAAAAAAAAGTTCTTAATTACCAAAAAAAAATATTCTTAAAAAATTCCATATTTCCTTACCAGTATCTACCAAAACATTCTGAGCCACTATGCTAACACAAAGAAACCATATACCAACATTCAGTGTACGGTTATTGATCAAAATAAAAGAAATTCTTCTCTGTGAAGTCTAAAATTATAAAAAAACTCAAATCGTAACCAATTTTTGATAAAACAATCTAAACTGCTACAGATTCAAAATGAGCATATGCCATAATTTGGTAGATTTTATGAAGAAATTAATAATAAAAATAAGTTGAATGCTAGGTCTTAAAATTAAATCCCTATTTCCTCACTGATTTCTAGTAAACACACAAATAAACAACAGTTTTTTTTTTCAAAATATGCATAATTATTACAAAATTAAGTGACATTTACCTCATGCATTTTGAAAAAACCCTAGTTATGCTAAGCATTTCGAGTACTCCCATATAAACTTCCATCACATACCTATACAATGGTAGTATATGCCCTATCTCAGTGCATCTGAGAAAGAAATAACAGGAAAAAAATATTCATCATTATCAAGTCAGTGACATTCAGTATTCTGACCTTTATCTTATGATTTTATTTGTAGAATTTTTTTTGTGTAAACTAGCAGGAATGTAACTTCTGTGAATAACAACATTACTAAATCTTACCCCTTAATTCTAGAGAGCTCCTTTTCATATTGTGATGTTACACTGTATTAAAATTGTTCACCACCTTCATTTATTTGTTTATTGATGAGAAGAGAGAGAGAGAGAGAGAGCAGGAAAGGCTGGGAGAAAATTCTGGAGACTAATTCCTACAGTTGTTTCCCTCAAAATAGGGTGTTGTAGGAGGCTGGGGATACCTTGATTATTTGGCATTGAAATTTATTTAGAGTTGTTAAATATTTCTGCTTTTACTCAAAAACTCTTCAGGATACTCCACTATCAGTCATTATAACAATTTGTAGCCGTCACAAATATGAATATGCTTAATTTATGCCTCAGTAAAGTGTATTAAAAATAAGAGAAGTGTAGTGTACTCACTGCTCATTTATTGCCTGCATAATATAGCACAGTTTTCTTTGAGTACTTATATCACCAACAAACATTTTGTAACTCCCATGAATTTATATCCTATGTGAGGGCCAAGAACTTCTTTGCCTGGTACGTAAATCATAGGAGCATCTGTTTTGTACCATTGTTATATTGGTCATTTTGTGGGAGTAAAATTTAAGTTAAATTTTTTTTTTTCCAGGTAAATGCATTGCTTGTCAAAGTGGGTCTACATTCTTTAGTATCAGTGCTTCATCTCTCACATCAAAGTGGGTTGGTGAGGGTGAGAAGATGGTGAGAGCAATGTTTGCTGTAGCAAGGTAAGTTTCAAAGTACTATTAATATTATTCCTGTGTAATATTTTTAGTTTCTCATTATATAAACAGCATGTGTGTTGTAGTTTGTAACTCAGTTGGCATCAGTCTGCTTGAGGTTTATAGCTGTAAGAGAGACAACTTATACGCCGCAAACCACCTAATTTTTTTAATACTGGTCATTTTCTACCCTATCATATTGAAAATTGAAAACAGTTGGTTAAAGAATTTTTGATGAGCACAAAATTGTAGAGAGGGAGTGTGACTAAAGATGATCCTGTCTTTTAACTTTTGATCATTTGACATGTTGGTTTTCTGTACTTAATTTATTTAGCTTTCCTTTGCTTTTTTGAGGTTAACAATTGCTTCTTACTATATATGTTTTTTATATATAATTTTTTTTATTTTTTACACTGTATTATGCTGCCAAATAGTTAAAATTTTATCTTTTGTGTAACTTTATTAAATGTGTTTTCCAGATGTCACCAGCCAGCTGTTATCTTCATTGATGAGATTGATTCTCTCCTCAGTCAGCGCTCAGACTCAGAACACGAGAGCTCTAGACGCATCAAAACAGAATTTCTTGTTCAGCTGGTAAGGTGAAAAGTTTGAATTTTTAAGAATCTACTGTTTTTTTTTTAGGTAGCTTTTCATCTGTGCACAACCAGTCAAGAATACTTTAATTCCTTTAATAGTGATTAAAATAAAATTTAATACCTTTTATAGTGACTGAAATAACCTGTCATTGTATGCTTACGGTATTGTGTACCCATTGGTGCATATGCAGCCTCTCCTCACTTAACGATGGAGTTCTGTTCCTGAGACCACGTCGTTAAACGAATTCTTCACTAAGTGAGGAGCATACTATAATGGTAGTGAGTTTGTGTCAACCATCTTTGACATTGTAGTGTCACCTTTGCACCATTCATAACATTTCTGTTATATTTTTAAATGTTTATACAGTAGTGTACTGTATATTAAAATAAACAGAATAGAGGAAATCAGCTCTAATATACATTATTTAGGTATGAATACTGGTCAGAGAGCCCGTTGTAAATCCGAGGCGTTGGTAAACGAGTACGTCGCCAAGTGAGGAGAGGCTGTACACAGAAATACACCTTCTTTAATATATATAGATCTATATATATATAAATTTCTTTTTAGGTAGGTGTCAGTTGTGGTAGGTAGAGATGAGATTGTTTCACCATGATCACAGTAGTAATGGACAGCTCTGTAAACAGTGGATTTTGTTTGTAATTTCAGAATTAGTTGATCCAGCAGGTTTTGTCCCAGTGTTCATATGGTGCTTTTTATGAGCACTAGCACCAGGAGGATATTGGCCATTCACACTTGGATTTTTTTACAAGATGGCTGTCTCCCACCGAGGCAGGGTGACCCAAAATGAAAGAAAATCCCAAAAAGAAAATACTTTCATCATCATTCAACACTTTCACCTCACTCACACATAATCACTGTTTTTGCAGAGGTGCTCAGAATACAACAGTCTAGAAGCATATACGTATAAAGATACACAACATATCCCTCCAAACTGCCAATATCCCAAACCCCTCCTTCAAAGTGCAGGCATTGTACTTCCCATTTCCAGGACTCAAGTCCGGCTATGTAACAATAACCAGTTTCCCTGAATTATTTTATTTTATTATCACACTGGCCGATTCCCACCAAGGCAGGGTGGCCCGAAAAAGAAAAACTTTCACCATCATTCACTCCATCACTGTCTTGCCGGAAGGGTGCTTTACACTACAGTTTTTAAACTGCAACATTAACACCCCTCCTTCTTCACTAAATATTACCCTGCTCACACTCCAACAGCTCGTCAGGTCCCAAATACCATTTGTCTCCATTCACTCTATCTAACACGCTCACGCACGCTTGCTGGAAGTCCAAACCCTCGCCCACAAAACTTCCTTTGCCCCCTCCCTCCAACCTTTTTGAGGACGACCCCTACCCCGCCTTCCTTCCCCTACAGATTTATACACTTTCCATGTCATTCTACTTTGATCCATTTTCTCTAAATGTCCAAACCACCTCAACCTCTCTTTAGCCCTCTGACTGATACTTTTATTAACTCACACCTTCTCCTAATTTCCACACTCCGAATTTTCTGCATAATAATATTTACACCACACATTGCCCTTAGACAGGACATCTCCACTGCCTCCAACCACCTCCTCACTGCAGCATTTACAGCCCAAGCTTCACACCGACATTAAGAGTGTTGGCACTACTATACTTTCATACATTCCCTTCTTTGCCTCCATAGATAACGTTTTTTTTTTCTCCACATATACCTTTATATATATATATATATAATGTATCTTTAAAAAGTTATTTTATTAATAATTTTCAGATACCTAGTCACCTTTCTCCACTATTATTATCTCTGGGGAAATGCTTTCAGTATGGCTGCAGTGAATCATTTACACACAGTTGGGAAATGGTTACTGACTGAAATATTCAGAGGCTGTATAAGATATCTCCCACAATAACATGGATTGTATTTATTTTCTACCATATGTCGCTCCCTCTGATTGATTTACAGTCTTATCCTTGCCTGTGTTTAGGATAGCTTTCGAGAGAGACCTTTGTAAAAAGTTGGGCTTTAAAACTAACAAAATAAAAAAAAATATTCTTATTTTTAAAACCCTTTGATTTATACTCTATATTCTTTTCATAAAGCAAGGATGGAGCCACAACAGGGAATGAAAAAGCTGTTGGTGGTGTAGCAATCAAATTAGCGGCCTCAAGAATAACGAAGCAGCCCGAAGAAGTCTAGTTAAGAAGCTGTACATACCCCTAGCCTGAAATAAGGATGAATAATAATATATGAGTTTTCTACTTGAATTAATTGGTGTTTTATGTACTTTGAGTTTAACATTTTTGTGTTAAATCTGAATAAAGTTCTATGCCTTTTCTTCATCGTCAAGCAATAAAGTCTTATACTATATGGGTGAAACCTTCCTATTTATGGGATTATGTTCCAGAAGACCCCATAGATGTGGAAAAATTGTGATACTTCTCTCTTAAATCAAGAGCAAAGTTTCTGTGAAAGAGTTTGACATAAATGTGACAGCCTAGATCTAGACAGAAGATAAAATGCTGCCAACTGCCTCCTTCAATTGCATGTAGATACTTTAAAAACCTCTGTTGGATTTTTCTTCCTCTTCCATCATGATATAAGTTGTAGATATGGCTCTAAACTGTGGGAATTGTTGCTTCTGAAGTCACTGGACAGACAAAAATCAGAGCATCATAAGGTGGGGGATATCAAGTAAGAAATATTGGTTTTGTTGTATCATTGCAAGTAACACTGTACTTATTACTCCTCTTATGTAGGTATCATACAAAGTAGTGCAGACCAAGGGACTTGGACATCCAACGGGCATGCCATAGCAGTAGATACGAGTGAGCAAAGTAAGTGATTTTTAGACTTCTCTTCAGTGCTTCTGCAGTGTGAAGAAGGTAACTTGAAGGTTCAGGAAAGTGGTAGCCAAGGTGGTAAGTAACAAATGCCTGTCATTCTGAAGGAGGGGAGGGGATATTGCAGTTTGGAGGGGCATCAGAGCTGTAATGTTGGAGCACCTCAGGCAAGACAGGGATTGAGTAAGAGTTTCTTCTCTTTTGGGTCACTCTACCTCAGTGGGAAGTGGCCAGTGTGTTAATAAAAATAATAACAAATTAATTTCTGCTTTTTTTTATTTGCAAAAATTATTATATGATAACTTAATACTGTAGGTAGTAGGTTGGTAGACAGCAACCACCCAGGGAAGTACTACCGTCCTGCCAGATGACTGTGAAACAAAAACCTGTAACTGTTTTGCATGATGGTAGGATTGCTGGTTTCTTTTTCTGTCTCATAAACACGCTAAGATAACAGGGATATCTTGCTACTCCTACTTACACTTTGGTCACACTTCACAGACACGCACATGCATATATATATATACATACATCTAGGTTTTTCTCCTTTTTCTAAATAGCTCTTGTTCTTTTTTATTTCTTCTATTGTCCATGGGGAAGTGGAAAAGAATCTTTCCTCCGTAAGCCATGCGTGTCGTATGAGGCGACTAAAATGCCGGGAGCAATGGGCTAGTAACCCCTTCTCCTGTATACAATTACTAAAAAAGAGAAGAAGAAAAACTTTATAAAACTGGGTTGCTTAAATGTGCGTGGATGTAGTGCGGATGACAAGAAACAGATGATTGCTGATGTTATGAATGAAAAGAAGTTGGATGTCCTGGCCCTAAGCGAAACAAAGCTGAAGGGGGTAGGAGAGTTTCAGTGGGGGGAAATAAATGGGATTAAATCTGGAGTATCTGAGAGAGTTAGAGCAAAGGAAGGGGTAGCAGTAATGTTAAATGATCAGTTATGGAAGGAGAAAAGAGAATATGAATGTGTAAATTCAAGAATTATGTGGATTAAAGTAAAGGTTGGATGCGAGAAGTGGGTCATAATAAGCGTGTATGCACCTGGAGAAGAGAGGAATGCAGAGGAGAGAGAGAGATTTTGGGAGATGTTTAAGTGAATGTATAGGAGCCTTTGAACCAAGTGAGAGAGTAATTGTGGTAGGGGACTTGAATGCTAAAGTAGGAGAAACTTTTAGAGAGGGTGTGGTAGGTAAGTTTGGGGTGCCAGGTGTAAATGATAATGGGAGCCCTTTGATTGAACTTTGTATAGAAAGGGGTTTTAGTTATAGGTAATACATATTTTAAGAAAAAGAGGATAAATAAGTATACACGATATGATGTAGGGAGAAATGACAGTAGTTTGTTGGATTATGTATTGGTAGATAAAAGACTGTTGAGTAGACTTCAGGATGTACATGTTTATAGAGGGGCCACAGATATATCAGATCACTTTCTAGTTGTAGCTACACTGAGAGTAAAAGGTAGATGGGATACAAGGAGAATAGAAGCATCAGGGAAGAGAGAGGTGAAGGTTTATAAACTAAAAGAGGAGGCAGTTAGGGTAAGATATAAACAGCTATTGGAGGATAGATGGGCTAATGAGAGCATAGGCAATGGGGTCGAAGAGGTATGGGGTAGGTTTAAAAATGTAGTGTTAGAGTGTTCAGCAGAAGTTTGTGGTTACAGGAAAGTGGGTGCAGGAGGGAAGAGGAGCGATTGGTGGAATGATGATGTAAAGAGAGTAGTAAGGGAGAAAAAGTTAGCATATGAGAAGTTTTTACAAAGTAGAAGTGATGCAAGGAGGGAAGAGTATATGGAGAAAAAGAGAGAAGTTAAGAGAGTGGTGAAGCAATGTAAAAAGAGAGCAAATGAGAGAGTGGGTGAGATGTTATCAACAAATTTTGTTGAAAATAAGAAAAAGTTTTGGAGTGAGATTAACAAGTTAAGAAAGCCTAGAGAAACAAATGGATTTGTCAGTTAAAAATAGGAGAGGAGCGTTATTAAATGGAGAGTTAGAGGTATTGGGAAGATGGAAGGAATATTTTGAGGAATTGTTAAATGTTGATGAAGATAGGGAAGCTGTGATTTCGTGTATAGGGCAAGGAGGAATAACATCTTGTAGGAGTGAGGAAGAGCCAGTTGTGAGTGTGGGGGAAGTTCGTGAGGCAGTAGGTAAAATGAAAGGGGGTAAGGCAGCCGGGATTGATGGGATAAAGATAGAAATGTTAAAAGCAGGTGGGGATATAGTTTTGGAGTGGTTGGTGCAATTATTTAATAAATGTATGGAAGAGGGTAAGGGTACCTAGGGATTGGCAGAGAGCATGCATAGTTCCTTTGTATAAAGGCAAAGGGGATAAAAGAGAGTGCAAAAATTATAGGGGGATAAGTCTGTTGAGTGTACCTGGTAAAGTGTATGGTAGAGTTATAATTGAAAGAATTAAGAGTAAGACGAGAATAGGATAGCAGATGAACAAGGAGGCTTTAGGAAAGTAGGGGTGTGTGGACCAGGTGTTTACAGTGAAACATATAAGTGAACAGTATTTAGATAAGGCTAAAGAGGTCTTTGTGGCATTTATAGATTTGGAAAAGGGTATGACAGGGTGGATAGGGGGCAATGTGGCAGATGTTGCAAGTGTATGGTGTAGGAGGTAGGTTACTGAAAGCAGTGAAGAGTTTTTACGAGGGTAGTGAGGCTCAAGTTAGAGTATGTAGGAAAGAGGGAAATTTTTTCCCAGTAAAAGTAGGCCTTAGACAAGGATGTGTGATGTCACCGTGGTTGTTTAATATATTTATAGATGGGGTTGTAAGAGAAGTAAATGCGAGGGTCTTGGCAAGAGGCGTGGAGTTAAAAGATAAAGAATCACACACAAAGTGGGAGTTGTCACAGCTGCTCTTTGCTGATGACACTGTGCTCTTGGGAGATTCTGAAGAGAAGTTGCAGAGATTGGTGGATGAATTTGGTAGGGTGTGCAAAAGAAGAAAATTAAAGGTGAATACAGGAAAGAGTAAGGTTATGAGGATAACAAAAAGATTAGGTGATGAAAGATTGAATATCAGATTGGAGGGAGAGAGTATGGAGGAGGTGAACGTATTCAGATATTTGGGAGTGGACGTGTCAGCGGATGGGTCTATGAAAGATGAGGTGAATCATAGAATTGATGAGGGAAAAAGAGTGAGTGGTGCACTTAGGAGTCTGTGGAGACAAAGAACTTTGTCCTTGGAGGCAAAGAGGGGGAAAGTATGAGAGTATAGTTTTACCAACGCTCTTATATGGGTGTGAAGCGTGGGTGATGAATGTTGCAGCGAGGAGAAGGCTGGAGGCAGTGGAGATGTCATGTCTGAGGGCAATGTGTGGTGTGAATATAATGCAGAGAATTCGTAGTTTGGAAGTTAGGAGGAGGTGCGGGATTACCAAAACTGTTGTCCAGAGGGCTGAGGAAGGGTTGTTGAGGTGGTTCGGACATGTAGAGAGAATGGGCGAAACAGAATGACTTCAAGAGTGTATCAGTCTGTAGTGGAAGGAAGGCGGGGTAGGGGTCGGCCTAGGAAGGGTTGGAGGGAGGGGGTAAAGGAGGTTTTGTGTGCGAGGGGCTTGGACTTCCAGCAGGCATGCGTGAGCGTGTTTGATAGGAGTGAATGGAGACAAATGGTTTTTAATACTTGACGTGCTGTTGGAGTGTGAGCAAAGTAACATTTATGAAGGGATTCAGGGAAACCGGCAGGCCGGACTTGAGTCCTGGAGATGGGAAGTACAGTGCCTGCACTCTGAAGGAGGGGTGTTAATGTTGCAGTTTAAAAACTGTAGTGTAAAGCACCCTTCTGGCAAGACAGTGATGGAGTGAATGATGGTGAAAGTTTTTCTTTTTCGGGCCACCCTGCCTTGGTGGGAATCGGCCGGTGTGATAATAAAAAAAAATAATAAAATAACTTAATACTGTTTTGTTATTATTGAATCAAGTAATTAATGTATAATTTAACTTTTTTAGGCTCGCCAGCAAATTATAGAAAAACTAATGACAAGCCAGAGCCATAGTTTGGTACCAAATGATATCGAATGCATTTGCCAAATGACAGATGGGTATTCCGGAGCTGATATGGCTAACTTGTGTCGAGAAGCTGCCCTGGGACCTATTAGATCTATAAACTTTGCTGACATTCATCATATTTCAGTTGATCAGGTAAAGAATGTTGAAATTGAATACAGTACTTTTAAATTTTGTTTTTCAGAGCAAAGAAGCAATTCTTTTGAGATTCTTAGTTATTAATCCAGAAAATCATTGAGGATCAGATACACTTTTATTGTTATCATCCTGTTCTTCCTTTTTTGTTAAACATTTCTTGTAACATTCTTATAATTATGTGAACCACTTCCCTTAAGGGAGGTTCCTTGATGCTGGTGAGGGGCTCTTGATTTAGGAAATTTGATCTGTGCCCCAGTTCCCTGAATTGAGCCTGAATACCTTCCATTACCCCCTCCCTATAGGTGCTGTATAATCCCTGTTGGTTTAGCGCTCCCCATGATTATAATAATAATGTGAACCACTAAACCCATGTGGGCCATTCACTGCATGGGTAGTGGAGGCTTGATCCTTTTGTCCGCTAATTGTTAGACAGATACACATTGCTCTCGTAGCCAGTCAGGCAAAAGGGAGAATAGCCTTTTTTGTTAAGCAACATATAAAGATTATAGGTATGATTTTCGATTTATAATATAATAACGCTTGATTCAGATTCCTGTAAAAGAGGGAATTCTAGTAATGCTGTATCTGACTTACGTTATCAGGCTCACCTTGAAAACAGTGCTGACTTAGGGCTCTCCTCATTACAGAATAAATGAATATATATTGAAACATTTTTTCTCCTTGACTCAGTGAGATGTCCTTACCTATACTTACTGTGAAATGGAGTAGTAAAAAATAAAATGCTTGACTTGTCTATTTGAGATCGTGATTAACAGGTACGTCCAATTTCTGCCGGTGACTTCATGAATGCTTTGCATAGCATCAAAGCAAGTGTGTCTGATAAGGACCTTCAGATGTATGAAGATTGGAATAAGAAGTTTGGCATTTCAGGCAGATAGTGGCAGTGGAACACAAGGAAAACTGAAGTAGGTAGAATGCTTAAGTAAGGTGTTTGTGTCTTATTTTTTGAAGATTGATGTAATTATTTTAATTGACTACCAAGAGAATTATAGTTTTTTTTTTTTTTTCAACAAGTTGGCTGTCTCCCACTGAGGCAGGGTGACCCAAAAAGAAAGAAAATCCCCAAAAAGAAAATACTTTGATCATCATTCAACACTTTCACCTCACTCACACATAATCACTGTTTTTGCAGAGGTGCTCAGAACACAACAGTTTAGAAGCATATACGTATAAAGATACATAACGTATCCCTCCAAACTGCTAATATCCCGAAACCCCTCCTTTAGAGTGCAGGCATTGTACAGTGGTCCCTCGTTGTTCGTAATTAATCCGTTCCTGGAGCCGTTACTATAAACGAAATTTACGATTTACGAATCAATTTTCCCCATAAGAAATAATGTAAATACAATTAATCCGTTCCTGACACCCAGAAGTATTAAAACAAAAATTTTTAACATGAAATATACATGTAGTACATAAACAATACAATGGGAAATGAATGAAACATTAACAGTATAACACTTACCTTTATTGGAGATTCTTCTTAGTGTATGGGAGACTGGAGGAGGAGAGAGAGTGGATTGTTTATAGTTTGGAAGGGGAATCCCCTTCCATCAACACCTCAGGTACCATTTGCTTTTCTGGGGTTGCTTCTCTTCTCTGTTTCTTAATGCCACTAGGACCACCTTGAGAGTCACTGGAGTCCTGTCTCGCAAAATAACTGTGGAGAGAGCTCTGTTTCTGGCGTCTCTTTAACACTTCCCTAAAATGGCCCAAGACTTTGTCACTGTACATGTTGCCAACCTGGGTTGCAACAACCTTGTTAGGGTGATGTTTCTCCATAAAGCTTTCCATCTTACCCCACATAGTAAAAATCTCTTTAATTTCTGAAGAAGGCACCTTCTTCCATCTCTCTTCCTCCTCCTCTGCAGCAAGATTCTGAGCTGCGATGTGTTGCTCTTCCTGCTGAAGCTCTTGCAGCTCCTCAGTGGTGAGCTCTTCATTGTGGTCTTCCACCAATTCTTCCACATCCTCCAAACTCACATCCAACCCCATGGAACTCCCCAGTGCCACAATTGATTTTATAACAGACATAGGCTCATTAGGGTCAGTCCCAAATCCTTCAAAATCCCTCTTGTCAACACAATCTGGCCACAATTTTCTCTAGGCAGAGTTCAAAGTCCTGGTAGTCACTCCCTCCCAAGCCATACCTATAAGGGTTATGCAGTGGAGGATGCTGAAGTGTTCTCTCCAAAATTCTCTTAGGGTCAAGTGAGTGTCTGTGGTCACAGTCAAGCACCTGTGAAACATTGCTTTTGTGTAGAGTTTTTTAAAGTTTGCAATAACCTGCTGGTCCATGGGTTGGAGGAGAGGAGTGGTATTCGGGGGCAAGAACTTTACTGTGATGAACCCAAACTCCTCGAAAATTAGGTCATCCAAGTTTGGAGGATGAGCAGGTGCATTGTCCATTACTAGCATGCACTTGAGATCCAATTTCTTTTCCAGGAGATACTCCTTCACACTAGGGCCAAACACTTCATTGAACCACTCGACGAAAATTTCCCTCGTGACCCATGCCTTACTATTAGATTTCCAAAATACACACAATTTACTCTTCATAACATTGTCCTGAACACTGGGATTTTCAGAATGGTACACTAGTAATGGCTTCACTTTGAAATCCCCACTAGCATTAGCGCAAAACATTAGCGTCAGCCTGTCTTTCATAGGCTTATGTCCTGGCGTTGCCTTTTCCTCTTGTGTAATGAAGATCCTCTTTGGCATTTTCTTCCAAAAGAGGCCTGTTTCGTCACAATTGAACACTTGTTCAGGTTTCAGTCCTTCACTGTTTATGTACTCCTGGAATTCATGCACATGTTTTTCAGCCGCCTTGTGGTCCGAACTGGCAGCCTCACCATGCCTTACCACACTGTGTATGCCAGTACGGTTCTTAAATCTCTCAAACCAGCCTTTGCTGGCCTTAAATCCACTCACTTCACCACTATTTGCAGGCAATTTCTTTACCAAATCTTCATGCAACTGCCTAGCCTTTTCACAAATAAACGAAGTCATAAGAGTATCTCCTGCTAATTGTTTCTCATTTATCCACACCAATAATAACTTCTCAACCTCTTCCAGTACTGGTGATCTCATTTTTGTCAGCATAGTTACTCCCTTTGCAACAACAGCATCCTTTATTTCATTTTTCTTGGCCACTATGGAACATAAGGTTGTGTAGGGTTTCTTATACATCCTGGACAGTTCAGCCACACTTGTACCACTTTCATATTGTTCAATGTTGGTTTTCTTAAATTCAGTCGTATTTCTCACCTTTACCACAGGCTTGGCACTAGGAGCTTTCTTTGGAGCCATGGTAGCTTATTTAGTACTTGCAAGCACTAAAATAAATGGAATATTATGAAAGATTTCGCTGGAGCACGTGAGGGGACCTTCGCTCACTGGTAAACAATGCCAGACTGGCTGCCGCCCTGGCCCACGCCGTGCGTATGCGTCCCGGACGAACTATGACTCGCGAGTCAACCTATGAAAAGCGAGTCCATGTTTATACGAAAATACCCCTATGATTGGCGAATTTTACGATTGCCGGGAACTACGAAAAGCGGGGGACCACTGTACTTCCCATTTCCAGGACTCAAGTCCTGCTATATAAAAATAACCGGTTTCCCTGAATCCCTTCACTAAATATTACCCTGCTCACACTCCAACAGATCGTCAGGTCCCAAATACCATTCGTCTCCATTCGCTCCTATTGAACACTCTCATGCACGCCTGCTATAAGTCCAAGCCCTTTGCCCACAAAACCTCCCTTACCCCTTCCTTCCAACCTTTTCAAGGACGACCCCTACCCCGCCTTCCTTCTCCTACAGATTTAAATGCTCTCCACGTCATTCTACTTTGATCCATTCTCTCTAAATGACCAAACCTCCTCAACAACCCCTCTTCAGCCCTCTGACTAATACTTTTATTAACTCCACACCTCCTAATTTCCACACTCCTAATTTTCTGCATAATATTTACACCACACATTACCCTTAGACAGGACATCTCCACTGCCTCCAACCACCTCCTCGCTGCTGCATTCACAACCCAAGCTTGTGAATGCAGCATCGAGGAGGCGGTTGGAGGCAGTGGAGATGTCCTGTCTAAGGGCAATATGTGGTGTAAATATTATGCAGAAAATTAGGAGTGTGGAAATTAGGAGAAGGTGTGGAGTTAATAAAAGTATTAGTCAGAGGGCTGAATTGTAGTTGTCCTCATGATATGGGGATTACTTATTATAAACTTTTCATATTAAAATTGCGACAGTGACTGTAGATGTCAGGGTCTGACGATTAGATTTACCCAAGTGCTCTTGAGAAGTAAATATCATTCAGTTCTATGTTCGTATAAAGTATTTGATACAGTAGTGTGTTTTACAAGCTCTGTGCTCTCAGAATTTTAGACCTTTGAGCCCCTTTCACTTAATTTCTTTTTTTTTTCTAAAGGTCTTTTCTGTCACTTTTCAGCTCTGCACTTACAGAGTCATGCTATTCAGTTGTGTACAGCTTTGTTTCTTGTTGAAGACTTAAATTATCATGTATTCATTTCCAATTCTGGTTGTACCATTTGAGTTTGCATGGCTTGTAGTATACCTTTGCTACCAAGGGAAATGAGGCTACCTTGTAAAAGCTGCATGCCTAGCCTGAAAGTACTGTACTAGGGTAATTAGTACCTTTTTTTTTTTTTTTAACTTTATGAACTTGCTTGATAAGTCTGTCATTAGATAAACTAATGTAGGTAGTAGTTGGTAGACAGCAACCACCCAGGGAAGTACTACCGTCCTGCCAGATGACTGTGAAACAGAAACCTGTAACTGTTTTGATTGATGGTAGGATTGCTGGTTTCTTTTTCTGTCTCATAAACACGCTAGATAACAGGGATATCTTGCTACTCCTACTTACACTTTGGTCACACTTCACAGACATGCACATGCATATATATATACATGCATCTAGGTTTTTCTCCTTTTTCTAAATAGCTCTTGTTCTTCTTTATTTCTTCTATTGTCCATGGGGAAGTGGAAAAGAATCTTTCCTCTGTAAGCCATGCGTGTCGTATGAGGTGACTAAAATGCCGGGAGCAATGGGCTAGTAACCCCTTCTCCTGTAGACATTTACTAAAAAAGAGAAGAAAAACTTTATAAAACTGGGATGCTTGAATGTGTGTGGATGTAGTGCAGATGACAAGAAACAGATGATTGCTGATGTTATGAATGAAAAGAGGTTGGATGTCCTGGCCCTAAGCGAAACAAAGCTGAAGGGGGTAGGGGAGTTTCGGTGGGGGGAAATAAATTGGATTAAATCTGGAGTATCTGAGAGAGTTAGAGCAAAGGAAGGGGTAGCAGTAATGTTGAAGGATCAGTTATGGAAGGAGAAAAGAGAATATGAATGTGTAAATTCAAGAATTATGTGGATTAAAGTAAAGGTTGGATGCGAAAAGTGGGTCATAATAAGTGTGTATGCACCTGGAGAAGAGAAGAATGCAGAGGAGAGAGATTTTGGGAGATGTTAAGTGAATGTATAGGAGCCTTTGAACCAAGTGAGAGAGTAATTGTGGTAGGGGACCTGAATGCTAAAGTAGGAGAAACTTTTAGAGAGGGTGTGGTAGGTAAGTTTGGGGTGCCAGGTGTAATGATAATTGGAGCCCTTTGATTGAACTTTGTATAGAAAGGGGTTTAGTTATAGGTAATACATATTTTAAGAAAAAGAGGATAAATAAGTATACAAGATATGATGTAGGGCAAAATGACAGTAGTTTGTTGGATTATGTATTGGTAGATAAAAGAATGTTGAGTAGACTTCAGGATGTACATGTTTATAGAGGGGCCACAGATATATCAGATCACTTTCTAGTTGTAGCTACACTGAGAGTAAAAGGTAGATGGGATACAAAGAGAATAGAAGCA